CATCGATGTGGCATTAATTGTACTTGAGTGCATGTACATGTTATTGTGTCTTCAGTTGGATGGGCCTCTTCGGTGCAAAGTCGGTGAAAAGAACTGTGGTGGTGGGAAATGCGTCGCCTAACTGCATGTAGATACAAACTATGTTTAAATTCACTGCACATGCATTCTGTGGGCTGCAAACATGATCATTGAACAGATTAGCTCAGGCCCTGGATCAGCCGTTTCTCATGGGCTGCCCGAATACAGCCAGGTGATCGCAACAAGCACCGTTGGACTTCCGAAGGTGTGTACAAGAAGGGTGTGAGCAAGAAAACAGGCAAAAGGACCACGCAACTCAGCCGCTCAATCACCATGTGCACAGTGACTGCAACGCTGTAAAGTATGAGCCCCGATCATGCAGCCATCAAATGCCCCACTTCTGATCAGGACCGGTGGTTCCAAGCTGCAGAACACCCAGGCCTACCCGTACAACTTCTGTCGATTTGTGGCTTGCGAGCACGGAAAGCTTCTTCGGGTAGCTAGATTGCAATACATGAATGATCGCAGTTATGAGAGGTCGCTTGTGCAACAATTGTTTCCCCCCCCAGTGGTATTCATGACGAGCAATCGGAAAACCCCAGAACCCGTAAACCCAGCAGCCCTCAACCAAACCCAACCCCAGGCCCTGAGACCCTGAACTTTTATAGCTTCCAACTCCCATATAATGATCTCAGGAGAGCACCACACCATCACGGCCACACGCTGACCTGGCGAACGAGTTCGTGCCGGAGCTGACCCAGGCCGGGCGTCGGAGACCGAAGGGATGGGGTTTAGGCCTGTCTTTGGAGTGTGGTGTTCGTAGCTCGCGATCGTACATACAATTACATCTACTTAATCACCGGGGGCACAAGAAGTACTTAGAACTGCAGACATCGGGATTGATTTTGCAGTCGTGTCTCAATGCCCGGACCCCAAATTATCAGCATACTCGTGCTAGCGCTAGCTGCTATCTATATACCATGCATGCAGCTAGCTGCTTATATTCAAGCAAACATCCTGTTCTACGTGAATACAGAATTTTCTTGCAGTGGGAACTATTTGTTCAATAGAGTTTAGGTTTCAGGAGTTTTTGCATATATTACGGATTATGATATATAGTATTTTAAAAAATCGAGAAATGTTATATATATACATAGCATATATAGGGCGAATTGGGGTTTAGGGCTAAAACCTCGATTCCACTACTGTATACAGTATATCTATATATAATATTGGGGCTCTGATGTTTAAAAAAAAAATAGCTTCAACAGTTTCATCTCTCCAGGTCTCGATTCCCGAACTCAGACAGTCGACGACCCTGAACCATAAACCCTACAACCTTAAACTATATTGCAATCATATTTTAAAGTATATACATTGCCACCCATAGATCTATATATAGGACGTGGGCTTGTTGTTTCATTGGGTGCTTCGGGCAGGGCTTTATTCTTCACTGGTTTCGGGCTGAGGATCATCCTCGAATGAGTCTGAAGCTACAGCAACCTGTGCACCGAAATCTCCAGGATGAGAAACTGCTGTGGCAGGATGCTATGCTTGAGCCTCACTTGCAATTAATTGTACATGTGGTGCAGGAGACAATGAAGCTTAAGTGGCAATGCAAGGAGCCGGTTGTCGAATTCTTGCGAGATGCTCAACGCTCCGGGGCATGGGTTATGCAGTACACGAAAGTGCCGCTGACTACCGATCGAGTCTGTGTCACCGAATGTTTCTTGGGAAACCGATGATGGGTGCACATGTACATCCGCCCCGGCTAAAATCCTATCCCTGGTGGAAGAAATGATTAGTAAGCTTGTGGGGCCCATCTACTTGAAGTTCGTTTAAGAGCATGCACACTTGGTTCGCTCTTTCCTGGGTTTATGTAGCTGCAGGGTGTATATATGTATATATGGAATTATCTAGCTAGAGCATCCCGTAAACCCTGAATCTTATAAGCAACCCGGGAAGACGACACCTGGCCTGCTCATCCGGATCCATCTTGTGTGAGACTGTGCATGGTCGAGATTCCTGCATCAGATCGATCATGTACCGAAGCATTGCATCTTGTACTGGATGGCACAGCAGTCCACATAGCTTATGTGATGACCTCTGGAGATTGAACGATTCAGTTCTGACATTCCAGCTGCACACAAGATGGTTAGCTAATTAAATTTAGCAGTCGTCCCGTTGCACCCCGGCGATAAAATCTGCATCTGGCAACCACATGTACATGTACTACACCGAGTGGTGTGTCTTACTCCTGTGCATGCATTTCTGCATCCCTACATGACCCGAACAGAAAACTCTATGGCCAATTGACTGCTCAAGATCGCCATCCGCCTGGCCTTGGAAGTTGTCGACCTCCTCGGCCATCCCTGCTTCTCGATCGAGAAGCAGACCTTCGAGTCAAGGCCGGAACTCTAATACCCTGGATTAATCCAGGACGTCTTCGGAGATCTAGATAGGGTTGGGGCTTTAAGGTTGTAAAGGGTTTTGGTGTTTGGGGGTGCGTTTAGGGAACTATTATGGGTTTGCCGATATGTGTTGTAAAGGGTCGTGGTGTTGTGCAGAGTGGGTTTAGGGATGTCGCTAAGCTTCCAAAGAAGGCTTTAAGGGTTAAGGATTTTTGGGTTTAGAGGACTTGGGGCTTGATTTAGGGAACGCTATGGGGTCTGCCGATATCCATTTGAAAGGGTCATGGTGTCGATCTGAGTGGCTTGATGGCACTAACCCCCCCAAAAGCTAGCTTTCAGGGTCAAGGGTTTTGGGTCATGTTGGGATTTGATCTAGAGTGCCCTATGGGTCTGCGGGTATCCATATAGTAAAGGGTACAATATTAATGTCTAGGGATGTCGCTAACCCCTCAAAGGGTTTTGGTGTTTTGGGGTTTGATTTAGGGTTAATCCTAGGCTTTGCGGATCCAGTGTAAAGGCCCATGGTCTGTATGGCTTCGGGTGTAGGGTTTCCTTTGTAGAGGGTTGATTTCAAGGGCCCAACAAGGCCAAAGCCCAACGATGCCAGGATGTAGCTCATCATGATTCTCGGAAGCTCCCACTCATTCATGAAGCTCCGGTGCCGATAGCGGCGCACTCCTTCGTAATCGAGGGGTCTTAGGCCCTAGGCGCTTCGACATTGGACAGTATCTGCGACAGCGTCTGCGACAGCGTCTGCGAAAGCCCCTGAAGTCGTATCAATGGTGTCCGCCCACAGCTGTCATAGGCCGGTGCACTCACCCCACGGCCATAGTCTTCATCTGGCAATCGGTGTGCCCTCCAACCAAATACACGCAAGCCTGCATGCTACAAATGTTGTAACCCGCTAGCTAATAACAAACCAGAGCCCCGAAGCTCTCCTTAGGATTGGAATCTAGAGAGTGGAATCTGGAAGTAACCCCGATGGGTTTTGCTATCATGACTCCAAATCCAAGCACTTAGATGGTAGATGTCGCACCGAGTGGTTGATGACCGACAGTGTATATACTAGCTCTACTGGACCAGCACTTCCATGATCAGTATGTGCAGGCAGTAACCATGGGCCCCCAATTCGAACCGAATGAGGATTCATGGATCGACCATGAGGACTTCATCCCTTCGTGCACAAAGTGCTATGCAAAGCTCAGGAAACATGGCATGTGGTGCTGCAGTCTGATGTTGAGGACGATGAAGACGACGACGATTTGACTTAAACCCTTAACCCCCTAAGCTCTAACCCCAAAAATCCTCACGATGTCTATTGGACTTTAAACCCTAAAGCCCCTACTTAAGACCTAACCGGAAAATCAACATGATATCCTGTCCCTCGGGAATCATAGCCTATAAATAATATACAAGCCATCAATCTCAATCCTACACTGGACCCCAAACCCTGCTGCACCCCGAATCGAAAACCTGAACCGAAACCCTAAATCCCAATGCTGTCCTTTTCCTGCATATCAATAGGGACTGATCTAGAAAACCACAAACCCTAAATCCTAGACAACCCTAAACCCTGGCGCCCCCCACACTGTGCTTCGTCATTGAGGCAGTTCCACAGCCTGGGTTGTAAATTGTGTAGTGGATGCTTATTTACAAACTCTTCTTGGTTTCCCCATGTATGTGGCCATATGGTTTGCCTAATATATAGAGCCGAAAGCACGACAAACCCTCACGAATTCCTATGTTTACACGTGTGAAAGAATTGTAGTATGCATGTATGTATATGCATATAGGTCATATATACATATACATATACATGTGTATCTATGTTGTTTAAATTAATAAATACGTACATATATATATATATATATATAATATTTATAATATATATATATATATATGTATATATGTATTGTCACATATATATATATATATATATATATATACTATGCTGTGTCTGTATACTCTCTCTAAATATATGTGTATATGTATATGTATATATATATACAGTATATATATATATATATATATATATATATATATATTATAACATAGTATATAATATATTGTTAATGTTGTATATTACAGTATGATATCTATAGTGAAATATGTACTATATATTATAGTTGTTGTACACATATGTATACATAGTATAAATAAATCATGTCGATGTATATGTAAGTACATATATGTGTACATGTTATACATATATATACATTATATGCACATATTACACACCTTCATTCATACATACATGCACATATTACACGATGCTAGGGCCAATCTGTAGTTCCACCATACAAAACCCTAGAAAATACAGCATTTGCGCACGACTGGCACGATTCGCGTAAGTGTTTGGGTCTATTGCATGAAAACGCATGCTGGACACCTTGCGCTTTGTGCGGTTTTCGTGCGGATGCGCTTCGGGGTCTAGAAAAGGGGTCCGTGAAATTCGGGCTGGAACCGTGAAATTAGGGGCTGGAACCGTTAAATTAGGGCTGGAACCGTGAAATACGAGTGGTTCCGTGAAATTCGGGGGTGGCCCTCCCTAGCGTACAATTGCTGTCCAGGATGGGAAAGCGCGGGAACTATGTGGCCCAGGATATGGCTGCTGCTACGGCACTTTTGGCTAGGGTGAGGTCCAAATCCAAGCCACCCGAGGCCAAGCCAAACCCGGGCACCCCTGCAAAGACACCTACAGCCCCGGCAGAAGCAGCAGAGACCCCCGATGCGAAGATGTCGGCCCCGGCAACCCCAGCTACAGCTAAGTCGATGCTCAGTGGCACAAATATCTGCAGATAATTCTTAATTAACCCAGCATATTCTCCTCTGATCTCAGGACACCTATCCGCAGCCCGGACCCGAAGAAGACCAGGCTGGAAGAAGTTGCCGAGGAGACGGCCCAGCCCGCCACTTCGGTGACACACGCCTGCACAGAGTCTTGCTGCTTGCTTAGGGTGTGGCTTTCATGCATTTCACAGTTGCAGGTTCGCCTGGGGTTGGGACATCTAGATCTACTTGTTCTTCGATCAGGTCAGATTATCTCTCTCTGTCGCTGTCTTTCTTTCCCTAAACCCCTCAACCCTGGCCCCTAAATCCTTAACCCTGAACCCCTAAACCCTGACCCCTAAACCCTAAACCAAGAAAACCTCGAGCTGAATGCGATCCGGTTAAGTAGGGTGGCTCCTAGCGCCGAGGAATACGATGCAGACACCACTCAAGACTGGTGTGGACACAACCATGGCCAGCCCGGAGGCTGAGACGATCCCGGCCACCCAGAAAGATCTAAATGAGTTGCAAGTGACCCCAGCAAAGCAGCTCTTTGCAACCCCTGCGAAAACCTTGCAAGGCCTGGGTGCTGAAAGTATAAACACTGTATAACGTAGAATAAACACTGAATAAACGCTGCCTTAGACCCCAACTCCTGCGCCCTTGACCTTAATCCCGCATTTGCCCGGATTACAACTCTGAACATACCAGGGCACTAGAGCCGTACAGACAAACACACTCTCTCTCTCTGTCTCTTTTTCCCTCTCTAGTACTAGTACGAGGTAGTAATACTTGTTGTACTAGTACTAGTACTAGTATAAATACTATATACAAGGTACAACATACTTAGTATGTATAATTAAGTTCTAGATCTATAGTACTAGTATATATTATTACTAGGTACTAGTACACTAGTACAGTAGTAGTAGTAGTAGTAGTAGTAGTAGTAGTAGTAGTAGTAGTAGTAGTAGTAGTAGTAGTAGTAGTAGTAGTAGTAGTAGTAGTAGTAGTAGTAGTAGTAGTAGTAGTAGTAGTAGTAGTAGTAGTAGTAGTAGTAGTAGTAGTAGTAGTAGTAGTAGTAGTAGTAGTAGTAGTAGTAGTAGTAGTAGTAGTAGTAGTAGTAGTAGTAGTAGTAGTAGTATAGTATTAGTAGTAGTAGTAGTAGTAGTAGTAGTAGTAGTCGTAGTAGTAGTAGTAGTAGTATAATAGTACATCTACAGATAGTACTACTAATATATATATATATATATAGAAAGATAAAAAGCGATATAGTAGTATGTGTGGCAGGTAACGACACCCAGCTGGAGAGCGACAAGGGTGACAACACCCAGCTGGAGAGCCAGAAGGATGAGAATGATGATTTGAACAAGCACCTTGAGCAGTTGCTGGAGGAAGAGTACGAGAGGATCGACCAGGAGCAGGCCAAGGCCAGCCCTACGGATGCAACGTCCGCAGCTACGCGGAATGACCCCGGATCGTACTATGACACGGAGTGGGGGAACGGCCACTGGACCTCCCAGCACTGGTGGGATTGGAGCCAGCGCTGGGGACGTTCCGACTCATGGGGTCGTTCCTGGTCCCGAGAGTCTTGGAGCAAGGAAGATTGGAGCAGGGAGATGCACCGTGGTGCATCAGTAGATCTGGAAGGGAAGCTTCAGGCTTCCAATGCCCATGGTGACAACGAGCAGGAGCAAGCCCGGGCAGCCTTGAACAGAATGCCGACGTCATGGGATGATCAGACACGAGCAGCCGCGCCGGAGCAGCAGCAGATGCCCAGTGGGAACAAGGACCAAGCAAAAGCCGAGGACCCAGCGATGATCACAGCCCCACCGCAGCAGCAAGCGCCGATCCCCACTGAGACCAAGGACCAAGCAAAAGCCAAGGACCCGGCGATGATCACAGCCCCAGCGCAGCAGCAAGCGCCGATCCCCACTGAGACCAAGGACCAAGCAAAAGCCAAGGACCCGGCGATGATCACAGCCCCACCGCAGCAGCAGGGACCGATCCCCATGGAGACAGACTCAGCAACACAGCAGCAGGGCCAGCAGAATCCGGAGAAGCCCGGCACACCGGACCAGCCGCAGGCACCCGTCCGCGTGGAGACAGGCACAGCAGCAAAAAACCAGCAGCAGGACCCGAAGGCCACGCAGCAGCAGACACCGATCCCCACGACGAACCAAGCAGAAGCCACAGGCACACAGGGGCAGCAGCTGAAAGAGGCTGTGAAGGAGGAGCCGAGAATGGGAGGCCCAGGTGATGAGTGGCGATGTGATAAGCGTGGGCGGCTTCTCAAGCCGCACTCGCTATACATGAGATTCTATCGATCGATCCGAAGCAGCTCAACAGCATCTACGCAATAGCATGCACAAGTATGTACATGTGCCGTACCAATAGCTATTAGCAGTACTACACCAGTTAAGTAACTAGTAACTAGTACAAGTACTGGTACCTGTACTAATAATAATTACACTCCTTGTTCTCCAAATCGACTTGCTGAAAATACCCTGGCCTCCGATGCATTAAGGTGGCGAGGTGGAGCCCGAGGTCATGGAGAAGCGCCTCGAAGCCGAGGGAAGCCGCTAGGTGGAACACATTCAAGATCTAAATTGGGATCTGAGATATTATATATATATACTGCATATATATATAGAGCTGCGATTATATATATATATATATATAAACCCCACGAAGATCACATCAGTTGTATTGTAGTTTGAATATATATATATATATATACTTTTTTTAACTACAATACAACTGATGTGATCTTCGTGGGGTTACTGTGGGGCCCCTAAACCATGAACCCTCAACCCTAAACCCCTAAACCCTAAACCCTAAACCCCACTGATCCCAGCCTAGGCCATCACAAGATGCATCAGTTGTACCTGCACTTCTTGTCATGCAAGGGTACATGGGCCTCCTCGACCCTCATCATGCGAATGAGGCTGCGACATTTATAAAGATCTTAGAGTTGGTTACGGGATGGTTATGGGGTCATACCCTAAAACCCTAAACCTAAAACCTAAAACCCTAAAGCCCTAACAGGAGCTCAAACTCGGAGGAATCCGAAGACATGTACGAGTTCTGGAGCTATCGGCGTATGGTGGACGAATTAGGACAGGACTTAGCTGACGACCTAGTGGCCCGCCACAAGAAGGAGGATCCCAACGCCACCGGACGGTTTATCAGAAAGTCAACTGGACCAATATTTCGAAACATTGTATGCTTGGGTCCTAGCTGTGTTAGACAAGCCATACGTTGCCCCATAGATGTTTTCGAGTACCCGAGGCATCCTGACTTCCCTTTGAGAGAAGTCACTTGGGAGACATTCGCATTTTTGTGATGTTAAACTCCAAGATTAATTTTTTAGTGCATTATATTGTAAAGGGCCTAAATAACTATAGGGTTCTTAAGGGGAAGCCCTAAACCCTAAACCCCGACACCCCAAATGTCCTGAATACCCTGAAGCCCAGCAAAATATATACCCACAGCGAGAACTGCACAACACTCCGGACCGACCCCAAATAGTACAAAAATAATACAACTTAATGACCGCTCAGGACATGTATCGGTACAAGAATTATGCCCGGAGCACTGACTACAAACGCAAAAAGTTCGAGACTTCGGCGGAGTTCGAGAGCACCGCTGATGTCGAAGAGAATGAGATGTTCGATGCAATGCCCCAAAGTTGCACTTAAACCAGAGTCATGAACCTCAAACCCTGTATGACCCTAAACCCCAAAAGCCTATTCTTCGATTTTAATCCCCAAATCCTATACCTCAACTTTTCCCTGGCTGCTAACTTTAAAGGTCCCTGGCCGATTATTCTTATAAATTAGCTAATCTATTATATTATAATATATAGCTATTATACTGTATGAACCTACGCCCGATCTTTATCCTCAAATCCATAAGGCTCAGACCCGAAGAAACCCCAGCCCACAACATGCACACCAAGGGAGAAGTTGCTGCATGAGCAGCAGATCGGCACCGCTGGGAACCCGCTGGCGAACACCCGGAATAATAAGCCAAAGCCAGAACCCAAAGAGAAGACATGGAAACAGCAAGCCCAGCAGGCACATTCATGACTCTGTTTAATGCATCATGTTAGTGAACCCGTACTCCTGTCTGAAAATAATTAAATGCTTATGCAGGCGAACAACAAAGCGAACATGGAGCTCACCGAGCAGGAGGGTTTCGAGACAGCCCTGGTGAAACTGGGGATGCTACTTGTCTGTACTATTCAGGGATAGGATGACGAATCGGGATTTGGGGTTGTCGATGATATCCGGAAATCCTAGAAACCCATCTAACATAGCCCAGGGGCTCCAAGATGATGGAAGCCATGATGGAAGACCTCAAGCCCGCCGTCTCGAGCCTCAAAGCTGCCAAAGCTGAAGTGGCTGTGGCACTGGGGCAGAAGAAAGATGAGGACACGTTGAAGACGTTTACCCAGGTTTTTGTGCTGAATTATTAGGAACATTTTTGCATTATGCATGGGCTGCTGCATGTATGGAACTCCTACGGGATGTGCTCAGGCTTTGGTGAGTGCGCTGGCGCACTTCAAGAAAATGGCCGAGCCTATCAGATCTGCTGTGAAGAAAGCCAACCCGCCGGCTAAGAAGACTGCTAGTAAGGCAAAGGCCAAGGCGAAAGGAAAAGCCTAGATAGGCGTAGTTTTCCAATGGGATCTGGATGCGTGTGCACTGGTTTGTCAGTGCGCAGGGCTTGCATCTAGACTGTTTTGATGTGGGCTGTCGGGATGATCCTGACACCGGGGGCTCTGCTCATAGAGTATCAGGGCGCCTTTTGGGTTTTGGGACACATGTGATCGGAAAGCCCGGGAAACAAACCTCCTAGGTAAACCTACAGCTTCTAAGTCCATGCTGCATAGGACGAGGAACCCGGGGCCATCCAATCGAGCACTCAGGGAAACCTGCTACGGGCATGGAACGAAGCAGCGCTGCCTCGTCGAAAAAAGGCACCGCTTCGATTCGGTGAACCTGCTGGGAGCGGCCAACCACTAGGATACCAGCGTGTGTGGAGGTGTGAAGTCGGTAACCCTATCCCAGGCCTTAAATTAATTTACCCCTATAAACCCTAAACCCTTTAACCCTTAAATCACAAATCCTACGCAGGTCCCGCTGCAAACACCCCTTCCCAGTCTTGCCCGGCCACTCGAAGGTGTGTGGAGGTATGACGTCGGTAACCCAAGTATTAACCCTAAAGCCCTTGACCCCTAAACCCCAAATCCTACGCAGATCCCGCTGATGACGCTGCCGATGGATCTACACGGAGATCAAAACGTAACCCAGCTGCAATTCTGCAACCCTGCAGGATCGAATTTCGAATCTATGCAATGTCGCACATCCCAGTCTTGCCCTAGTACCCGGTATCATTTGATCGAAGCTACAGATATATCTCAGGATCGGAGACCCCAGCTGGAGCACACAGCCGATCACGATCGGCCAAGCCGCGACCTGCGCGACCTGTGCCTCAACATACATACTTCCGATCCCGATCCTAGGCTTTAATCTGATGAGTCCACATGCACGTTTCAATGTTACTACGTGTGAAGTATATCGCACCAATACACTCAACCCAGGTTCCAAGAGGTCACGATCTCCTGACGACCCACATCGACCTCCTTCTAGACCTCTAGAGAGATCACGATCTCGGTCCGACCCACGAGAACCTGCCTCCACAGGCCAGCTGTACAACTATAATGGGTTGTCCCCTATAATAACCTGTGAACCAACATCGGCCAGGCCTGGGTGGGAAAAGATCACGATCTCCAGCAGGCCTGCTGCAGATCATATATTCCAAACAACATGTAGGGTGTGGAATGAGTGCTTGTGCAGTGTTTGTGATCCAATTTCGCAGTGTGGTGGCCGCTACAAGATCAGGGTTTGGGTGCTTGGCATCGGGTTTACGTTAAGTTTATGGGCTCAGGGTTATACAGACAAGAAATATCATGCATGATCCTCCAGCACTGTTTAGAGAGCTTCTTTACGATGCTGGTTATATAGCACATATAGCTATGTGCTGTCGACCACTGCAGGCAAGCGTGCGATGGAGAGCAAGATGCCACTGGCTGCTCATGTGTGTCTTGGCTTAGAAATAATATCGGCAAACTCGGTATGGGCTCTAATACTTAATATTGCAAGGCTCAGACAAGTCGGTGAAGGACACGATTCAGTTTGGAAAGCAGTGAAAACTGCCCAAGCCGCCGCACAGGAGATTTGCCTTTAGATCTAGATCTAGATCCAGTATATAACCCTCCAGGCCTCAAAGATTAAAACCATATTGTGCGCACTGGACAGTACTGAACCCGACAGCCCTTCAATATCCCACTAGCTCCAAATCTCAAAGCCACTATCCCCGCCCTTCGTTGGAAGGAGGCGGGCCAGAAGAACATGCATGCTGCCACACAGAAGCTGGCCTCGATGGCGACGAGGGGCAATGCAGCCCGGGATCTTTTTAGATTCGTGAGACTGCCCATCGATGCTTAGCTCATCCAGCTTTGAAGATATTGAGGTTTTCTTATGGGGGGATTTTTTGTGAATAGACCGGTATGTATATACAAACCTATGGTAGCTATCTAAATATCGAATTTAATATGTCGACTATCTCGTACTTGCCCGAGGCCCTGAGCTACGTGCCCACGCAAGTGTTGGATCACGAATCTGAAGTAGCGGGCAAACTTATGGATGTGTCATTGCCAATGTTCGACCCGCACGAGCTGCTGGAGTGGTTGTTCGCGAACGAAAGGGTTTACATTGACGACGAAACCATCCGGTGACTTTGAGCAACTAGCTATAATGTATATCAAGATGTAAATGTATGGATGAAACTTCATGTCTGAGTCTTCCCTACACCTCACGATTCAGGTCCTATTGGCAGCACTTCAGAAAGCTGGATGTGCAGTGGGCCCACAGGCATCCGGCTTCCGACGACCATATTCCGATTTCTGTTTCTTGGAGCATTTAAAAAGTAGGAGGCCTCGAGTGCATTCTGATCAAAGAGCATTGGTGCTGACAAGGTAGAACCGGTCGTTTTCCTGCTAGATCTAAATACAGTAATTATCAAATCACTATATACCCAGAGACTCCAATATTGTGGGATCCTAGTACATATATTTAAAATACATATAGTATATATATAATAATAAATGATGATATCATCGAGTATTGGAGTCTCTGGGTGTATAGCTAGCTACCGCTTATAGCCTAGGATGTACTTGCAAATCTACAGCTACCTAGCTGCACCTCCGATGGATCTTGCAATACCCGGAAACACATCCCACCGAAAACCCAATACGCTGCACCCCAACAGCCCCACCATACGAGCGATCGCAAAAAACTGCTGCACGGAAGTCAAAGCCTCGCAGGAAAACCCGAAAGAAAGCTTTAAGGCCCAACTCCATAAAACATAATACCTGGCCGCACAACATATAACCCGGAACCCTAATCCTAAACCACCACATGAGGTGTACGGGGACGCTGCTCAGTTCACCCGCGAGGGCGACAAGTTCACAGCACTGCTGCTGACACTCCCACTGTTTCGGATCAAAGGCCGATCGAGTGCAAATTATTGTTTTTAAATAGGGGTTTAAGGGTCTAGGGTTTAGGGACTTAGGGTTTAGGGGTCTAGGGGTCCAGGGGCTATAATTAGCTAAGGGTTATATATATAGGGTTTAGGGATTAGGGGTATACCGGCTTTACTGGTTTTTCCACACGTTGACACTAGGAGAGCCTTGGCGCAAAACCTACATGTTTTTCGTGGTCAATTCGTACAAGAGTGCCGGCGCCGCATCTCGGATGTAAGGTCACCTTTTTGTTTGGTCGTTGTCGAGCGAGGTGATACTCGACCTATATAGACAATCAAGCTCGTATAGGTCACGATGAGACCGATCCTACACCGCACATGCTGGTCTTTACAACATGCTTTTGCTGGGCGGCGACCACAAGCGCACCCACACGATCCCTGCCTGCAGATCCCACGCCTACACCAGAAGCTGAAGCCACAGCTGTCTCGCAGATATGCTGTGGCGGAATACAAAGGCGACTGGGAGTGGCACCAGCGCCTTTGGCAGATGCGCACGCATTGGAATGCAAAGCAGATTTGCCACGCTTGCCGTGCGACCCGAAACTCCAAGGGCAATGATGGGCAATGCTGCTTCACCCTCTTCGGATCAAACTTCCCTCGTCGCAGTTTCGAAGAGTGCTTGCTGGAGTCGATGCCAGACTGTCCGTGCCCGCTGGTGTTGTGCGAAGGGTTCCACCCTGCCATAATACGCTTCTGTGCGATGCACGTGCTTGCATTAGGGATCTATCAGACCCTAACTGCGGAGGCATTATTGTGGCTTTGCGAGCAGCGGATCTTTGCCCCATCTGCAACAGACCTGGACGAGCGACTCCGGGCAGCGTTCATGCATTTCAAAGGCTGGCTTCGATCCAACAAGCTGTCCTGCAGCGGACGAGAGTTCTCCTCGAAACGCCTGCATGTCAGCAAGATTGACTACCCTTTCCTGGGATACAAGGCGTTCAACACTCGAATCGTGCTTGCCTGGTGTGCTGACACTAGCATCGCATTTAGCAGTTGTTTTCGAAAGGGTGTTTGTATGTTATGGAGCCACGTGCTGGAGCCACGTGCACCATTAAGGCTGTACTCTGTGACTCAGAAACTCAGCAGAAGATCTGCCAGCGTTTGGATGGAGAATCAGAGAATGACTTTCAGGCTCGGTGTGATTTGAATACGATCATCACGGGTTGTGTGATACTTGCCCGCACTTGGCAAGAAGTGCTGGTTATACATCATGGTCCCAGGATCACTGTCGATCCCGCCCACTCCCGGCTCTTTCGGGCTCCTATATCCTGCTAAGGTTCGAAATGAGCGAATTCCAGAATGATCTGGAGTGCACGGACCGCTACTTGACTGGCAGCGAAGGTGAGCAGCTCTACAGCGAAGGCATTCGGCACATCAAACATGCAAGCGGGTTTTTTATTACAATACGAACAGCAGCTTGTCTCCCTGCAGGTCAGCGAGCGCTCCGTCTCTACAGAGAAGCAGCCTTGATATTTTCTGGGAAAGGTGAGCTTCGGTTCCTGCTGAGGCCGAAGTTGCATGCAATGGACGAACTTTTGAAAGGATGCCGAGAAGAACTCTATAACCCCAGGTTTTTTCAGAATTATGCGGAGGAAGATGTCCTTGGCTTGTTGAAACCATTGGCACAGAAATCGATCCTGGCTCGACACTTCGAAGTGACGATGCTGAAACGATACTTCTTGAGGTGGGATCTGGGCAGAACTGATTTCATGATCTGATAACACAGTCCTTCGGGATACCTCCCTTAATTTGTGCCCTGCAGGCTTCTTTCCGATCAGCCTGGAGATGTCGAACGAAGCATCCGGCGATAAAGTCGCCTCTCGCTGCCTGTGGAATGGCCACACTGTTGCCATGGAGAGCACACACAGGACTCTCTGAAATGCGAAGTCGATTTGAACCGACATGCTGTTTTTTGACCAGTCGGTCGTTTTGAGCCTGTTATAATCGGGGTTCTAAGGGGTTTAGGGTTGAACCCTTAAAATATAATGTCCCCCCTTGTGCCGATGAGGAAATGGATGGTCCTTGGACGGCACATGCGACTTTACTTGGTGTCCCTTGCACTGCATATATTATGTGCCTTCTTTTTAAGGTCCTGGGTAGATACAGGGTATTATTTAATTTCTTTGATCCGAATATGGCCTCCCATTCAGGCTCAGAGCTGCCCGAAGAGCTCTGCGTCAAAAAAAGACCCGCCGATCGACGCTTCTGATCTAGGCTAAACCCTGCACCCTGCAGGTCCCTAAAATCCCATCGATTCAGAGCCCGTAACTCAAAGACAAACCCGAACCACCAAACCCTCAAGACGCCGAAACCGGCAAGCAGCCTCGAGCCCCGAACCCAAGAAATCGAACCTACCGTTCAGGGAATTCGGTATATGTAGCTAGCTAGTCATATTGGGCGTTCGTACGAAGCTTGCAACCGTCCGGTACGGTTTTGTGTTTTCTAGATTGATTTATATATCTGGTCCATTAGGGTTCTGCTTGGAGGATAAAGGGCTTCGTGGCAGGAATTCGAATCCGGTGTGCAACTCCTATAGACCCTGCTATCCTATATAATTAGCCGTAGGACCTAATCCCGATATGCAATCTTGGGTTTGGGATTGAAGGGTTATATGCTGAAAGCACAACCTTCGACACAACTGTTACATATCGCCCATAAAGCCCTAAACCCATGCAGCCTAAACCGTCCTACATGAAACCCTAGCGAGATCCCGCCAAATTGGCTCACTGCACTCGTATTATATAATAACCAATATCCGAACTTCGAAACCCCTATTGGATCCTGACTCCTGACCTGTGATCAATCCGAAAAATCAGAAGCATCCCCGAAGCCCTAATAACTCTCTCCAAAGGCCACCCTATGCTAGCTGACTCCTATAACACTCGAACCTTGAAGCTGCTATGGGCCCGGAAAGATTTGCATGATGCGTACATTTGCTGATGTCGTGACGATGACGATGACCCTAACATGGTGATGTTGTTGGGAAGATCTAGAATTCGAAGGAGAAGAATGATGATGCGATGACGAGGATGAGTGTGACACATGTGGCATAGGCTGGATTGTTGATGATCTCGGCACGAAGATGACGACCAGCTGGTGATGTCGTGGGAGGACACAGATGATGATGAGGATGATGTTGATGCGATGGCATGTGAAAGCCTGTACTGCGAGTTATGCATGCATGCTGCATAATAGTTGTTATACCCCAAAACTTGCACGGGACTGTAGTTCGAGAGCACGATTGTGCGGGTTACCCACACCCCCTCCCAATTTTAACCGCGCGCGCATGCGGGACTGTACCTGAGAGCACGATTCCGGACGAAACTACGTGTTTCACCCATTTTTTTTGTGCCAAACTGGCCGGAGAGCGGTTCTGCAAGGCAGATTTGTACTCTTTCTCGGGACTTCTGTGCTTTGGAGTGTCCGGTGGGATGCAATTTCACGTAACAATCATCTCTTTTGCTTCGTTTTTTGAGCCTCCTGAACACCCCTTGGTTCCAAGCCAGCCTTTGGAACCAAGACTTTTGGGAACCAGATCTGGGGACCACGCAAACTAGGAACCAGGCTCTGGTTACCTACCTCATGGGGCCTTAGGATGCCCTGGGTGAAGCAGTAGGGTTGTGCGAGAGATACGCAAGCGCCCAGCAAGTGACGTGCAAGGGATGTGCAAGAGTTATGCAAGTGACATGCTTTGACGCATTCAAGAATTCCCATGGGAGGCGTCGAAGGTGACCATTCATGCAGTTACATTCGTGATGTTGCCCGAGCCAAAGCAGCCACCGTCGTGAACCGGACGCCGCGATCGGCAAGAGCAGTGCAACTGAGTGCGTGTCGTCGTGCACAAGGGATGTGCAAGTGCAGTGCAAGTGATCTGTAAGGTATGTGCAGGCAGTCAATGAGTGATGTGCGAGTGTTGTGTGTTCATGCTTTTGCTTGTGTCAGAAGCGAAGTCGAGAGTTTCTCTCATCCGCAAGTACACTTGGCCAACGTGTTAGGCTGAAATTGCTGTTCACAACTTTGTGCGGTGGTTAGCAAATCTTGGATACCCATGTCATTTGTGCGAAGCTTTGATGAAACCGTAAAAGTGCTTCAGTGTGACGTAGACAAGAGCACGGCGTTTTGTCGTGTAGGAGTGAAGCTTGTGGAGCGAGCTGTGTTTTAGGGGTCGGAGGCTGAAGTTCTGTAGGTGCAAGTGACGTGCAAGGGACGTGCAAGTGATGTGCAAGGGAGGTGCAAGTGCCGTGCAAGTGACATGCAACAGTACAAGGTCCTATGTGTTTGTGAGAGGTTGTGCTGTGCAGAGTCAATTGTTGCGGGTTTGCCTATGTTGCAATGCGTAGACTCTCTGACATGAGTGTGGTTCGCCTATGTTGGAATGCGTAGACTCTGCAGTTTCGTAGACTTTCTACTTTGAGACGCTGCTGTCAATAAGTCCCCTGTTTCAAAGAGTAGGCAAATCTGAGTCGAACGAGCAAGGGTCTGCACGGCTGGAGTGCCTGGTTCAGTCCATGTGTTTGCTTGCTTGTGCGACTCGTTGACTGCAGTTTCGCGACATGAGTGCGGTTTGCATATGTTGGAATGCGTAGACTCTGCAGTTTCGTGATATGAGTGCGGTTTGCATATGTTGGAATGCGTAGACTCTGCAGTTTCGTGACATGAGTGCGGCTCGCCAATGTTGGAATGTAGTTTCTGCAGTTTCGTGACATGAGTGCGGTTTGCCGATGTTGGAATGCGTAGACTCTGCAGACTGGTGACACGAGTGCGGGTTTGCCTATGTTGCCATGTGTAGACTCTCTGACATGAGTGTGGTTCGCCTATGTTGGAATGCGTAGACTCTGCAGTTTCGTAGACTTTCTGCTTTGAGACGCTGTTGTCAATAAGTCCGGAAGGGCAAGAGTCTTATAAACAGCTTGCAGGGTTTGTGTGTGTCCACCCCTGTTTCAAAAGGTAGGCAAATCTGAGTCGAACGAGCAGGGGTCTGCACGGCTGGAGTGATCGGTTCAGTCCATGTGTTTGCTTGCTTTTGCGACTTGTAGACTGCAGTTTCGCGACATGAGTGCGGTTTGCATATGTTGGAATGTGTAGACTCTGCAGCTTCGTGACATGAGTGCGGTTTGCATATGTTGGAATGCGTAGACTCTGCAGTTTCGTGACATGAGTGCAGCTCGCCAATGTTGGAATGCGTATACTTCAGTTTCGTGTCATCAGTGCTGTTCGCCTATGTTGGAATGCGTAGACTCTGCAGTTTCGTGACACATGCTGGAAATGATTGCTGAGAGTATTCCTGCAATCATTGCTATTTGCCACGTTCTGAAAGCGATTTGCTGAGATCCTGACAACCACATTGCTATTTGCCACGTTCTGAAAGCGATTTGCAGACTCAAACAGACCAGTAGCCTGTTGTCAAATTCAGGTCATGTCGGAGTCCAGCTTTGAGTTTGCAGCTCTGTAGGTGCAAGTGACGTGCAAGCGACGTGCAAGGGACGTGCAAGTGATGTGCAAGGGAGGTGCAAGTGCCGTGTAAGTGTGCAAGGGATGTGCAGTTTGCAGCAGGGTTCGGCCATGGCTGGTGGTGGCACTGTGGTTTCTGGTGGTCTGGTGGCGATCTGGACAAGTGAGTGCGCATTGTCATGCAAGTGTCGTGCAAGTGATTGCATTGTCATGCATGGGTTATGTACGTGAGCGTTTCCTGTCAGTAAGTTCGAAAGTGCATGTGTATGTTGACCGGTGTTTCGAACGGCTGCAACGAGCCCGAGAGGGCTTGTGTGTGTCCACCCCTGTTTCGAAGGGTAGGCAAATCTGAGTCGAATGAGCAGGGGGACGGAGGGGGTGCAGGGGAGCTCCGTCCAACGAAGCTCTCCCCTACACCCTAGGAAAACGTACCTGCTTTGCCTGCGCCTGGGCCCCGTCGTGGGCAGCTAGCGAGGCACTCTTGCCAGTCAAAGTTCTAGTTGCTGCCATGTTGATGAGCCTGGAGACCCCATGCTAGTCATGTTTGAAGGTTCTGACTTCTCCTGACTTATGCTGACTTCACAGACCTGCGACACATTGTGTCAAGTGTGTATGTGTGTGTATGTGTGTGTGTGTGTCTCGGAAACTACCGTTCGAGTCGCCCAGAGCTTATAGAAGCCTAAATATTGACCTACATTTTTCCGTAGGGCCGTAGGGGTCCTCATTATGACCAATTTATAAAGGAGCCCAAAACTCTACTCTATTTATTAAGGCTCCTAAATTAGGACAGCGAGCTACAAAGTTCTTCCAGGAGAGTCCATCTGTTTCGTAATGTCGGGACCTTGATAATTACGTATACTATCCCTTCGGGTTTCTTTAAAGGGGTCTATAAGGGCTACTATAACGTTAATGCAGGGACCTTCATAACTGCTTTGGGGGTTCCTTTACGCACATATAGTAGAATATACACCAAAACCCTACTCTAATTAGTGTAATTATAAGCTCTTTTTCCTATTTGGATGCCGATCAGAGGCGCAAGACATGAGAGCAACAAGAATACTAGCCATGCATAACATACCTGTGCAGCATACTTACGAATCCAGATAGATAGACCTATAGATACATATATGTATATGCATATACATATATGCAATAGAGATGAAAACCTCGGGTGGTACACAACTAAGATCGCGCTACTAGCATGGGGGTGGGGTGGGGCGAAGGACGAGGCCGTCCAGAGTGGTCCCGTTATGCCGATGTCACATGGCGAGGAGATGTGCTAGCCTCAGCTGGGACTTGGGGTTGAGATTTCAAGGTTCCGGGTGATTTTGATTTAAAGATTGTCTTGGCTTTAGACTGCAGGGTTTAAGTTTCAGGCTTCCAGGAAGTGTAGTGCGAAGAATCGCACCAAAGGTGAAAAGAAGTTGAACAGACAGCAGTGCGATTCACCGTCAGCCCGCTTGGGAGTAGTGCCGAGTAGTACCAACTGCCCGCAGTCAAGTGCACTGCAGTAGCAGTGGCAGCAGTGAGTAGACTAGCAGGACGAGTAGTGTGGTGAAGCGAGCTAGTTGCTGCAAAAACTTGCCGCCGATGACCAAAAATCAACGGGCAACCTGCTTGATGTTGAGTGTTACGGTGATGTCGATGGTTCTGATGACGGTAGAAGTGGTTTTAATGCGCACTGCAAAAGGAGAATGCGAACGCGATAAGTGCTGGGTAGTAGTGGTTGTAGTAGTAGTAGTAGTAGCAGCAGCAGGAGTAGTAGCAGTAGTGGTAGTAGTAGTAGTAGTGGTAGTGGTAGTGGTAGTGGTAGTGGTAGTGGTAGCAGTGTTTAGTAGTGGTAGTAGTGGTAGTAGTGGCAGTTGTTGTTGTGGTAATTGGTAAGTGGTAGTGATAGTGGTAGTGGTAGGTGGGGGTGGTGGTGGGTAGTAGTAGCAGCAGTTGTAGGACAGCCAGCATAGTAGCAGCAGCAATAGCAGTAAGTAGCAGCAGTAGAAGCGGCAGTAGCCATAGCAGCAGTACGTTTCTAATGAATATCATGAGTGTTACTCCATGTTGTAGCACCTCAAAAGGCCCTCACCCTAAACTTGTCTACGAACTCACTCTCAGGCAGAAGCTGCTTCGTGTTGCAATGGCGGCCAGGGGCTTTGGTGTGAAATTCAGTCATCTTCCAAGCCTTTTAGTCAAGACCGTTTCATCTATTTAGCTGTCGAGCTTCGGTATATCCATCTGCATCATACCTGTGTAAGCGTGTGTGCATACAAGCAACAGAGAATATGCGCTTCGAAAACTCGAGTCCAGTTCTTGCATTCCCGGATCTCAGCGGCGGTTCGAGTTCCAGTAATTCCGAGACTCGTACATGACAGGGAGGACAGAAGTACTCACATCGCAGCAGCAATTTTTTTGAAGCACGCTCGCACTGAAAAGACAATCCGTCGAGAACTGCAAGTTTGCAGATTTCGGATTGCCGGTTGTCAATCAGGTTTTGTATTTACATACAGGATTCAGGGCTTAGGGCCTGGGCCCGATTGAGGGCTAGAGGAGGTCACACACAGAGCAAGATCAAACCACTATACAAATAAACAAAAAATGTGTAAATATATATATATATATATATATATATATTATATATATATATATATATATATTTATATTATATTATATTATATTATATTATATTATATTATATTATATTATATTATATTATATTATATTATATTATATTATATTATATTATACTATATTATATTATATTATATTATATTATATTATATTATATTATATTATATTATATTATATTATATTATATTATATTATATACACGCACATAAAGTCTGCGGACATATATGCCTCCTTGCTGCCTAACTACACACGTGATTACCAGATCGAAAGCACATACCCGGTTGATTGCTTCCATGCATGACGTGCTGATGTAGTCCAACCATGCTGTTGGATGCATACTCATACATATATACTTGCAGACATCTAGACATGCATACCCACCTACCATTAGATATGTTTGTACATTCCGGGCCACCTACATCCTTCGGTGCATATCCACTTTTATACGCATATCGTATCTACGCATGCCTCAAGCAGCGGTCCCTCCCAAGCCCAAACCCATAGCAGTAGGTTTTGGGCTTGGGTTTTGGGGTATAGGGACCCTAAGTGGAGGCGCTGGTGCCGCAGGCCCACTTTGGATCTCCCAGAGCCTAAGAGTGCTGTTGAACTCCTCAGCAAGCCGCTCAAACCCCAGGTTGTTTTGGAACTCCTTAGGGTTTAGGGCTTAGGGTTTAGGGCTTAGGGATTCACGGCCCGCAGCCCTCAAGCCTTAAAGTAAAAGCCAGAAAGTTGGAATATGATTACCCTAAACCTTTTATGGTAAATTATAAGGTATCTTACCCTGAAACCATATTCCAACTTTCTGGAGTTCCCTTTATTATGTTAACTCCCAAAGCACAAACCCTCAGACTCCGGCCTTGAAAGCCCTAAACCCTTAGCCCTTACAAACCCTAAACCCTAAACCCTTATAAACCTAGCCTTAACCCGTATAAAACCGTATATAACCCTAAAGCCCGAAACCCTAAAACCCTAAACCCTTGACCCTTAACCCTTATAAACCCTTGACCCTAAACCCCTAAGCTCTTAGCCCTCAACCCTAAACGCGTAACCCTTATGAACCCTTTAAGCCTAAACCCCTAAACCCGTAGTCTTGAACTTGCAGCTACTTGGGAAAAAGGAGTTCAAAATAAGATGGTAGGTTTTGCTCGACACCGTCCCGGGCACGGGGGAGACCAAGCCTGGCTCGCTGCTGCAGCTGGAGGACATTAGGGTGTAGGAAATAGGGTTTTAGGGTTTGGGGCGTTTAGGGTGTAGGAAATAGGGTTTGAGGGTTTAGGAAATAGAGTTTTAGGGTTATTTACCATGTATGCTATTATTATGGTTAGGTCGCCAAGACCATGATGAGGTGGTCTTTTGGGACCCAGTTATATAATCGTAGTATATGTGGACCCTCTGGGTTTTTTGACTTGACGATATCTTATTGTGTCACTCTCCATTGTGCGATCTTCGACTACGGAATATTATGGGATCTTCTGGTGCATTGTGGTTTGTTGTGGTATATCATAGCATGGTGAAAATCTCCTCAGGCTCAGCCAGGCTAAACGTTTAGGACTTCCGTCGGTCTCTCTTATGGGGCGGTTTACGAAGCTTAGGCTTAGGTAGATATAGCTGTGTTTGATGTTGGGAACTTGTAGTGTGTTCGGAAGTTTAGCAGCAGTATCCAACATTCCGTCAGGAAGGGAGGAATGCCCCAGGTTCGAGCCCAAGGGTTTGAGGTTTAGGCCCCTGTGTCTGTGTGAATGCGGTTTACACTGGTTGCTCTAGGCAGGAATCAAAAGCAACATCATAAAGAGTCCCAGATTAGAGCTTCCTAGTAGTCGTTGCTGGCCCTAAACCCTAAACCCTAGTAGTTGTTGTTTGCACGAACTCTCCTGCTGCATTCTGAAGGCATCAAACCTAAACCCCACAGGCCCGATACCAAGTAGCCCGACAAACCCTGAACACCTTAATGAGCCCTAAAGCCTAGACCGCTTGGGGTGGGGGTTATAAGTATTCTATAGGCACCTATAGAAGACCTGGCAAGGAACCCCAAACCCTAAACCCTTATGGAACCGTTAAAGAATCATACACTGTAGGTGCTTTGGACCCTTTGGGATAAAATCTAAACGCTAAGTCTCAAACCCCAAGCCCCCATAGAAACCCTAAAAATGGCCCCTTAGAGTAACCGTAAAAGCAGCCCTTTTTTGCAGGAGTCCTGACAGGTACTTTGGACCTGTTGAGGGAGAGTTTGCATAGCCTGGGTTCTTGTTATAATGGGTCTAATTGATGTCAAACTTGTAAAGAAACCATATTACTTACTATAAATTCCTATTATGGTAACTTAAAAATAAAATGCCGTTATAAGGACTGAACCCAGTAAAGCAAGCCCGCAGGCTCACTGGTTTGATGTCAAGGTCTTACCTGCAGGCTCATACCCTGCCCGTTTTTTCGGGTACCCACTCTTCTATACAACACCCTAAACCCTAAACCCTAACGGAACAGATCCTAACCCGAAAACCGCAAAAAGGGGTAGGGTATGAGCCCTCGAGGCAGGGTGTTAGGTTTGGGTTTGGGGGTTCAAGGTTTAGGGTTTAGGGCTTCTTAGGGTTTAGGGTTTAGGGCTTAGGGTTTAGGATTTAGGGTTTAGGGTTTGGGGGTTTAGGGCTTTCTGGCTTTATGCAGAGTTTAAGGGTGTAGGGTGCAGGTTTCTGGCCTTCGCGGTTGTGGTTGTTGCAATAAATCAAGCTTGGCATAATGCGATTTTCGGAGAGGTTCTTCAGTAGATCAGACGTCAGGGTTCGTGTTTTTAACCCTGAAGGACCCTGAAAAAAGCCCAGTCGTAAAGAAAGGAGCCCTCGAAGGGAACCCTACGAGAGCCCTTCAAGGAAGCAGTAAAGGAACCTTTAAGATTCCTCTAGGGATTCTTGAAAGGATCTAAAGGGATCTTATACGGGTTCCGTAAAAGCAACCCCAAAAAGGAGGCATTACAGTAACCGGAACCCCGTCTACCGTAGGGGTCTTAACAACTACCTATACAATTTTGGGGGTTCCTCATTCTTCCTATAGTAGAATGGACCCCAAAACCCTATTCTAATTATTGAGGCCCCTATATGATAGTACCCTTATAGTAATCCTTATAGACCCCTTTCAAAGGAACCCTATTCTAACCATTAAGGCCCCTATATTGCAGGGTCCGAAACATGCGGCCACTTTCGATGACAGTGTACCCACGAAATGGCCTGGCCCTCGTCGATGCTACGGTTTAGGGGTTTGGGGTTTAGGCGGGCTGATGACATAAATGCTCCATTAGCTTAATGACCCTAGACTATGGGAATTATGGTACCTTCCTTGTTCTAAGGAAATGCAGGACTTATATCATCAACCGTACATCGGGTATTAGCGTTTAGCCTTTTAGGGTTCGGGGTTGGGGTTTCGGGTGTTAGGGTTTAGAGTGCGGGGTTTCGATTTTCAGGGTTTAGGGTGTCGGATTCTCGGGTTTAGGGCCTGTACGGTTTTAAGTAAACCCTAAACCCTAAACCCTTATAGGTACATTTATTTCTTAGGGTTTAGGGTGTGGGGGGGTTTAAGGTCTGGGGCCGATCGGAGGTTTTACTAGAGGGCTCAGAATGTAAATTTGTCGACTTTCGATGCACCCATCTCTGCAGGGCTTTGCAAGGTTTTGTGAGGTGTTAATGGTGTTGAAAGTGCTTATATCTCAGCATCAGGGTCCAGTTTAGGGTCCCCAAATAATACGGCAAGATTACAACAAAGGACCTTAGAAGCGTGATTTCGAGAACTACCCACGTAAGTTGGTCCAAAACGATGGTATACGACATTAAGGTGATTCCCCCTTAAACCCTAAACCGAACATTTTTGAAGATACTCGAGGCAAACCCTGCAGTCCCACCTTCTGCTGCCAGCAGTCCCTCGGTAGCCGTACTAGCAGTCATATCCCAAAGGGTCTCAAGTACCTGTATAGTAGACTGTGTCTATACTAGGAATTGGGAGTTACCTTTCTGATGTGGGGACGTAATTATCCCTCGTAACAGTACCTTGGACCCTTTTGGTATGTTCCGTCTCGTGCAGCCTGCATTTCCCGGGCTGCTCCTGCAGTCTTAATATAGGGGCCTTAATAATTAGAGTAGGGTTTAGGGGCCCAGGAACTCCGAAAATAGTACAGGTAGTTGTAGGAAACTGTATTGTTTTCCTGCGGTCCTGTTTGGCTGCATCTCCTGCTGTCCTCATGGACTAAGGCAGTAAGTACAGGTTCCCTTCCCCGAGCCCTTTACGCGACCTCTTCAGGATACCCTGCAACTGTACTCTAATTAGTTATTTCCAAGCGAAATGCCTGCCCAAGCGAAATCGAGGATTGGAGCGGGGGGGAGGGACACTCAGTTCAGATATACGGAAGACTTTCATCCACAGACGCACCCCGCTACTCGCGAAAATCGTGTAAAGATAGGTAGCAGCGCAGACCATCACCAAATCTGCTCGGCCCCGTGCACTGACAAGGCACAGCGATACCAAGAGGCCTCCGCAGTGGGCTTTGGGGTGGGCTGTTCTGTGTGTTCGGTTCAAGCTTCAATGGTCCGGAGCTGAAGATCCTCGATGTTTAGGATAGTTTACAGTAGAAGCCAGAAAGTTGGAACATGGCTTTAGGAGGATTAGTGCTAGGATCCCTTATGCTTTACCTTAAGGGCATGAGGAGAATGATGTTCCAACTGTCTGGCTTCTACTGTAGAGTTAAGGACCGAATTCGTGTTTATGGAGTCTTAGGTTCTTGTCTGGCGAGATTTCAAACAGCCGGCTTGTCCTGATCTGAAACTGGCTTCAAATTTCAAGCATTCAGGTTCGGGAGTGGGAAGAGGGTAGCGTAAACCCTGAACCCCTAAACCCTAGGCCCTAAACCCTAAACCGGGTGGTGCCCTGACTGTTTGATCCAAGTGGGCCCCTCATGACAAAGAGGGATGTGCAGGCATCGTTGAAGGAACTTTCCGCCTGGGAGACTGCCCGGAGTAACTAAGGTACCTAAAAAAGTCAATGTACCATACTTTTGGGACATATCGTAAACCCTGAACCCTAAACCCCTAAACTCCCTATCTTAGAGGTGCATTGGCTACTCTAAGTGGATCTAGGGCCTTTGACACCTACCGCTCGACCCTGAAACACCAAGTCTCAAATTTCCTCAAAGCATCTTAAAGCGCAAGCCTGAGTTTCAGTGCATGCATGCAGGCTGCAGGTGTGCAAGTAAGCACGCACGCATGTATGTATTTGTGTATGTATGTGTGTACATATGTATGTATGTATGTACGTATGTATGCCTCTGTGTATGCCTGTATGCAGGCATGCAACCTTACAAGTATGTGGGTGTTGAATTTATGACTGTACCTATGATCTCCATTGTAGTTCTTTTTTTGGTTAGCTAGTTTTATGGCTAGGATCCTATAATAATTAGAGTTTTTGGTTAACCATCAAAAGGAACTACAATGGAGACCACAGGTATGTTGGAATGTACGAGTGCCTGCATCGATGTATGTGTGCGCGTATGTATACAGACATGCCGCATGTATGGTTCGCTGAATATGCGTCGGAATGTGTCAATGCATAATTCATTGATCTATGTATGCATGTCTTGTTATATGGTTGCATGTATGTTTGAAGGCATGAATGTATGTATGAGTGTATGCAGGATTGTTGCCATAATATGCTGAAAATGAAATGCATACGTTGATGCATGTATGTGCGTGTGTGTTTGTGTGTCTGTACGAATGTATGTCTGAATCTACAATTGGGTGTATGTACGTATACGCATGTGTCTATGTATGTACGAATGTGCGTGCATGTATGTGCGCACATGCCGATGTGTGTGTGTGTGTGTGTGACTGTGTGTGTGTGTGTGTGTAAGTGGTGTGTGTGCCCGACTCCGTTTTGCAAGAACTTAGGTTCACACTTTTATCAGTATGCATAGGGTCAGCGAGCATTTCAGGATTGCTTTGCCTAACAAAGACTGTCCAGATATGTTGTGATACGAAGAAGGGACACCTTCTTCACGTACCGGCGAAAGGCCGCCCCAAAATGTCCTTAAAGTTGTTGACGCTGCATTGGCCTGAAAGATGAGCAAGTGTAAGGATGACTGGTCTGTGTGTCTGTATATGCATGTGCTTGTTTGTCTCTGTGTGGGCATTTTGGTGTACGTATGTATGTATACATGCATGCATGCGTGAATGTTTGTTTGCAATGAATAATATGTAGGGTAATTATGTAAGAAAGCAACTGTGAGTAAGCAAGTATGTAGGTGTCGTGCATGTATGTGTGTCTACGTATATGTATGTGTATATGTATATGTACATGTATATGCATATGCATATGCATGCGTATGTGTATGTGTATATGTGTATATGTATATATGTGTATATGTACATGTACATGCATATAATAACCAACCAATAGACATGAAAGCATGCCTGCTCATCCTTTGCATACGTATGTAAGTCTGTAAGTAAGTAAGTATAGAAAAAGCATGTAAATATTATAGGTATGTAATGTAAGTATGCATGCATTTATGCTGTATTCATTTGTGCAAGTTTGTATTTGCCGGCTAGTTGCAACCATACCTACATGTTTGACAAGGATAAGTTGGCATGTGAGCAGGAAGAAGCATAGATAATATGGCTGCCCAATTATTGGACGGGCACATCATATGATTCACAGATAGTTATTCAAAAACTAGATAGATATAGATGATTCGACAGATATGCAGACAGGCAGACATTCGAACAGACACAGATACATAAGTGTATCGACAGACAACGGCGGATACAGAGGTAGTTAGACTGATAGGTAGGTGGGTAGATAGGTTGGATAGCTAGGTAGATGGGTGGGTCGATGGATGGAGGAACATGTAGGTAGGCAGGCAGCTGGACAGACACACCAAAAAATGCATAGAGGACCTGTGTGTACACCCCTGCACCTCGTTGTAGCTACATGCAGCTGGATATTTCCACTACATGTTCCATGCTTTGCATGTGCCAAGAATTAGCACCTTGCGAAACGGGGCCCTCGTGCCGTCTGCAAGAAACAGTCCAACCGCAGTTTGCTGCACAGGGCCGTCCTGAAAGCCGCCACATGGGTGAAGGAAGCGCTTCAGAAGATTGACTCGCAGCCCAAGGTGATCAAGACTCTTTGCAGCTTTGGCCAGCCACACTCGCTAAGCCCCCGAACTCACGAATCCGTATTCAGCTCGGTAAATACCTTTTGTGCTTGACTTTGGGCAATCCCAAGACCCAGCGTGCTTTTGTCATTCAGAACGAAGCTCGCGCTGCTTGTTGTATATAAATCTGAAATCCCTGGAAGCAGTTAGCCGGTTGCATGTCAACAAGAAGCCCTTCTTGAGTGCTCCCGGCCCACCCGAAACATTAAACCATCCGAAACCCTAACCCCCCCAAACCCTCCCCTTCACCCCCCAACCCTAAATCCCGGCTGGACTGAGGAAGTGGTTTCGTCTCGAGGATGCATCTGACCGGCAGGTGAATCGGGAGGGGCCTAGATTTTTGCAACTGGGTTCCTGTTTGAGGGTCCCTGTTTACAAGTCCTCCTATAAAGAGATGCAAAAAGGGGTTTGGAGTATATCAAACTCTAGCTGTAGTTTTTGTAAGGAATCGTGCGGGGCAGTTTCGGCTTCTACGTTCGGGCCTAAGGTTAGTTGTTCACGGGTCCGGGCATCTGGTGTAAAAGACTTAGGACGTACGGATAAGTGGTTCTTGTTTCTGGGCTACAGCTTTGCAGCGGCATTCTCTGAATGATCGCTGTGGATGCACCAACTCAACCCCGTAATAAGCAAGATCCGGGCCTGTACACTTGAATTCGGGATGGGGCTTAGCACTCAAGTCAAGGTTTTGTTCATATACGAACTCTACAGTTTATGGGTCAAGGGTTCAGAATGGGGTCAAACAGCTACGATTCCGGGTGGAGGGGTCACGGCCCTGTTGTTGCACTAAACCCTAAACTAAACCCAGAACCCTGAGCCCTCAACCCGAAGTGCTAACTCGCGTTCCTGGGACGGGGCAACTCGGACGTTTGGGTGATCCTTCCATATTCTGATGTTTCGCTTATGCCAGAAAAAACATGACTTTCCTGTACATGTACAAGGGTCAGGAGTCGTTGCAGTAGGGCTTGACGTTTCAAGCGGGACCAGAAATGTCATTTAGTATGAGTCTGGTTTGAGTTTGTCATACTTCTGACCCAGAGTCTTGCAAGGTGGAGTCCTGGTTGATTCTACAATTCAACCCCGGGCCTAAATCAAAAGCAGCCATGCAGCCAACCCAAGAAACACGAATACTATGGGGGGCTGCGGAATCGTCAATACTGCACGCCTTACAAGTACGGGCTCCGTTATATAGCAATACTATCCAGTACCTGTACTACCTCACATCCCTACTGTTGATGCATGAGCTTAATGGTTCCAGACCATGGGAATTACAGTATATTCCTGTTTCTGGGTCATGCAGGATTTATGTAATCGACCGTAGTCTATTATTACCTTAAACCCTAATGCAGCTCTGCAGGTCGAGCGACGGACTCGTGAGGCAGGAACCAGCTCCAGTTTCTGGTCGTACACACACATATATATATATATATATATACATACTTACATACATGCACTATAACATCCATATACACACTATAGTATGTATGTGTATATATATATATATATATGTATATGCTGGCGGTGGATCATGGGAGGGGGTGACCATATATCCATATATATATATATATATATATATATATATTACACTATAAATATGAATATGTGTGTGTGTGGGTCCACCCCTGTTTCGAAGGGTAGGCAAATCTGAGTCGAATGAGCAGGGGGCCCGGAGAGCCCGAGTGAGGTCCGGGCCAACGAAGACCCTCACTCGGTGCTCGTGTAAACGTACCTGCAAATCAGTAACCCTAGAGCGCTTCAGATCACAGGTTCTGACTTCTCCTGACAGACCTTCCCTGACAGTATGCACCGACAGATCAGACCTGCGACACGATGTGTCAAGTGTGCTTCACAACGGCATTCCCTATGGGCGCCGTGTCTCCCAGAGGTAGCTCTGGCGCTGACTTTCCCGATTGACTGTATAAGCATTGGATGACTTTCCCTGATTCTATATCCGTGCTTGCAAGCTGACTTTCTCAGTGAGTCTTTCCCAAATGCCTTTGCCGAAACCTGAATGCTGACTTTCCCACTGATTTTCTATGATCTGATTGACTTTCCCGAACCTGACTTCACCGCTGACTTGTCGCAGGTCTTCGGCTGCAAGTTGAGTACATGAGCTGTACTTTTGGTAGTTGCTGATCAATTTGCCACGCGCTTTCAGTCATCTGCTTTGCAATGAGCCTGGAGACCCGTAACCTAGAGTGATGGTTTGTATGCTTTCAGTCATCTGTCTTGCGATGCGCTGTACATGCGATAAACTTTGCAGGGGCAGTGCAAGTGAGTGCGTGTCGTCGTGCAAGTATTGTGCAAGTGTCAGTTTAGCAAACGTTTTTCTTCTGTGGTGAATGCGTGCATGCCTACATGCGTTCGGAGTGCGCATCTCGCTGCTTTACTGCATTGCAAGTGTCGTGCTGGTGGAGCGAGCTGTGGTTTCTGGTGGCCCGGTGGAGCATTGGAGCTGCTGGTGGTGGAGCTTTGGTTCCTGGTGGTCTGGTGGCGATCTGGACAAGTGAGTGCGCATTGTCATGCAAGTGCTGGGCAAGTGATTGCATTGTCATGCATGTGTTATGTTCGTGAGTGCTTCCTGTCAGTAAGTTCGAAAGAGCATGTGTATGTCAACCGGTGTTTCGAACGGATGCAGTGAGCCCGGGAGGGCTTGTGTGTGTCCACCCCTGTTTCGAAGGGTAGGCAAATCTGAGTCGAATGAGCAGGGGGCCCGGAGAGCCCGAGTGAGGTCCGGGCCAACGAAGACCCTCACTCGGTGCTCGTGTAAACGTACCTGCAAATCAGTAACCCTAGAGCGCTTCAGATCACAGGTTCTGACTTCTCCTGACAGACTTTCCCTGACAGTATGCACCGACAGATCAGACCTGCGACACGATGTGTCAAGTGTGTGTGTGTGTGTGTGTGTGTGTGTGTGTGTCAGTTCGTGTGTTTTACGAAGATTTGTTGGGTGTAGGAATCTGGGATGAGACGACATGTGTCTGTAACATGGACGCCCACACACTGGCAAACATATACGTTTGCACGTAAAGAGAACGAGCAAGAGAGAGAGAGAGAGAGAGATACAGAGAGCGCGAGAGAGCGCGAGAGAGCGAAAGGTGGAGCAAACAGAGCATGAAGAGAGAGGGTGAAACAGAAAGACGAGTTCTGTCAAGTCTTAGCAAGGCATGTACAAGTTTGAGGCTGTATACTATAGTACATAGGTTTCAAAAGCACGGACTTTGCCGCTCTGGGCATGTCGGTTTCAGAGGTAGCGACTCTGCCACCAAATAGGCATCCTGCAGTAGGAGCTATAGTTATCTGGTATAGAACTTTGCAACGAACTGCAACAGAACCTCCATTTAGCTTTCGCCACCACTTGCGAGAATGGACCAATCATCCGATGCAAAGCCTACAAGAATTCTTGGCTAACACAGAAGCCGATGTAATTGGGAATACTGTCGCCTTAGCAAACCTCATGAATTACAGTAAACCCCATAAAGTTGGAAATCGGATTGACGCCAAATAGTGCTGGGATTCCCTATACATTACTCTTAAGGATTGAGGCTATTGGGTTTCCAACTGTTGCACCTGTACCGTATACTATGAAGATAGCCCATGAGACCCCCGAGGCCCTATTGTGATTCTCAAGACGCCGTCATCACAGAAAGCCATTGGGGGCTAGGGTTTTGGAATCTTTGCGTGTGCAGTCGAAGCCTGGTGTATGTCACCTTGCCCGGATCGGCATGTGGGGGTTGATCAAAATTATGGGCCCTTTTGGGGTCTGTATTATAGTATACTCCTTATAGTTCAAGGGATCGAAAGGGGCTCATAATTTTGATCAATCCCCATGTGATGGAGCAGAGTTTAGGGTTAAGGGAGCGTTTAAACTTAAATGGCACACCTCAGGCCTCGTCTTTCTCAGGGTTTGGAGTTCAAGGTTTGTATCTGCACCCTGAAGCAGCCTAAAGTTCTGGGTGGTACTTTAGGGGAGAAAGAACCCTGTATGGTTCCTATAGAGGCACTGATTCATAAATATTTTGTATGACAGGCACCTAAACTGCCACCCGTCGAATGGTCTAACTTGGATACTGCCCCCACTCAGTCACAGTTGGATAATATTCATAGTATAGATATATTAGGCCCTTCATACTGGCCCTATTACAGACTGTTACTGTATGGGGGCAGTATCCAAGGTCTAACCTTTTTCCTCCCTGGGCCTGGCTACCTGGGTTTGGTGTACTATACTTTTCTATATTCGTTTAGAATTGAAGCTGTTCCTTAAAGAAGCCCAAATCAATTAAAGTCTGCACTTTTGTCATACTTTTTCTCCCTGGTTGCTTCAAAGTCCAAGATACGGTATGACCACGAGTCAGGCATATCCCATTCAGCTTTATCCCGTACCCGGCCCGATTACATTGTTCGCCAGCTCTGTCGCCCGGTGGTTGTCCCGATAAGATGAGCGTTCTTCTGCAAGGCCGTAATTAAGACACTTCTCATATATGTCATATATGACAAGTGGAGGGCCGTGGGCCGTAAACCCGAAAATCACAGAATCCGAAGCACGATCTACAGTCCCCTCATAGACCCTTTTCATGATCCTGATAGACCCCTTTCAAGGCACCCTACAGCTTGAAGACCCTTTATGGATCCCTTACAGTAACCCTTATAGACCCCTTTACAGGAACCCCACAGCCAAGCACCTGACACAGGTGAAGTCACGACTCGTTGACATGCTCGATGCCCTGACCCAGGCGCGGGTTCAGGGTTTGGATTTCCAAGGGGCATAAAGCCTCGGTACCCTTTGGGGTTTAGGGTTTAGGGCATAAACCCAAAGGCTCCATGTACCTTTATAGTAGACACTTAGGCCTTAAAGGGGTCCCTATATAGGCGCTTTCAGGCCTAAGTATATACTATGTGGGTACATGGAGCCTTTTGGGAAAGCTTCAGTACCTTTTCGGGTTTGGGCTGTAATTAGCAACAACAGCCGTACGTCCGAAAGTACTACTGCTCCTCACCTCGAAAACAAAATTCAAGACGATAATGTAGGGGCCTACATAATTACTATTATGCTGGTTCGTTACCATAATTATAGTATGATATACCCCCAAACCCTATTCCAACTGTTCAGGCAACCTATATTATCGATACCAAACGATCAGGAGCAGACTTGAATACATGAATGAGAATTAGTATATAACTAGCGAACCTCAACCCTTCCCAGAAAAAACGAACCTATTCCGACGAACCGGAGGAAAAGAACCCTCAGTTAAAGCAGACCCTAAACCTGGAAAATCGCCCCTAAAGCCCTACACCCTGAACTCTAAACCTTACAGGCTGAACCCTACAACCTAAACCCTACACCCTAAACCCTTAAACCCCAAACCCCACGATGTTTTGCACTCCGACTCTCCAGCCCACAGTTGCTTTCTGCCCCTGAGCCTAGACCTGAAACGTTGCAACCCAAGAAACCTTCATTTAGTAGGGTTCCCAAAGGCTCCATGTACCCGTATAGTATATACTTAGGCCTTAAGGTACCTATATAGGGACCCCTTTAAGGCCAAAGTATCCACTATAAAGTTACATGGAGCCTTTGGGTAAGTGGCTTAAGGCTTTGGTTTGCAAAAGACATGGCTTTCACCGTCGCCGCAGGTCCACTTTCAGAAGGCTGGCACGGGCATCGCGCGTCGTTCCGTTGCCTTGTCCTGGTGTGACGGAGTTTTAGAAGTTGCAGAACGGGTGTATGCATGTGTATTGCATACACACATGCGACAACTAATGTAGGAACCTGATTAAGAAACCCTGGGCCTATAACCCCAAAATAGTAGGTTTCATATAAGGAACCCTCATAAAGGCCCAAGGTTTCTTAATCAGGTTCCCAGATTATGCATGAATGGCCGTGGACACACATACTCTGGGCTTTGAAGTACCATACTTTAATACTTTTTTCTTAAAGGAAACCTTATGAAATATCAGTCCCTAAGCTCCCTCAAACCCCTAAACCCCTAAACCCTGAACCCTAAACCCTAAACCACTCCTTATGAAATAAAAGTTTAAATCCTTTTTTCTCCCTGGTTACTTAAAAGCCCAGTACTGCAAGCGTGCTTAACTTAATCAAAGGCCGAGTCCTTAGACTTCCGGGCCCTGCACCCGGAGCCCTAAACCCCACGCCCAAGGGCCCATGTATCCAAATAGGGGCCTTAAAGTACCTGTATCCTCAAACCCTACAAAATAGTAGGTTGTGACCCCTGAATTAGAGTCTATAACCCTGAAATCGGTAGGTTTTCGGATCCACAGGTAGTCCTTATTTCGGTTCTTTGGGGGACCCAAGATGGCCAAAGTATATGGTATTCGGGTACATGGACCCTTAGTGTAATCGAAGGGTAAAAGCAGGGACCCTCAATAAGGACCCCTAAATATGTACCCTTGATATAGCAATTATATACCCATTATATAGCCCATTATGGGGTACGGGTCCCCATTAAGGGTCCCTCCTTTTCCCCTTTGATGTAAGCTTACAAAGCCCGCGCCCTAAACCGAGGTGCTAAGCCGTTGACGTGTGTCGGTCTCTATATCTTAGAAGCATTCGACGCCACACGGCAGTTTCCGAGAACATGGGACCCCCATAGAGTACCCGAAATAGTAGGATGCTAACAACAAGGACCCCCAAATAAGGTACCCCTCGTTTTCGGAAACTCGCAGATTACAAGCCCCGCTTCAGCGACTCGATCTACTTACTTGAGGGGTCTGAGGCGACTGGCAGTTTCTGGTTTGGGTATACGGCTGATGGACAAAATCCTGCATGACCTTAAGGACCCTAAACTATGGGAATGATGGTATATTCCTTATATTGGGTCATGCAGGATATTGTCCATCCACAGTAGTGTTGAGTCTAGGGTTGGGATTTAGGGTTGCAGGTTTCACCACATTACATACATAAGCTGATACCTCGATACACACATACATACATATATACATACATACATACATACATCCACAAAGGCATGCATAGATGCATGCATGAGGCGTCACTTCCGAGGCATTGTGTCTCCCTTCCTCACTCCGTGGCCAGGGGAGCAAATGCTCATCGCGGGACTATGCCTACGTCGAGCGTACCAAGACGAGGGCCAGAGAGGGTTTAGGGTTGTAGGGATTAGGTTTCAGGGCTTACAGGGTTGAGGGAGTTTAAGGCCGCAGTGCTAGGGCTTCAGGATTTGTATTTTCTATGTGTGGTTTGAGCTTTGAGCTTGAGGTGTTGGGACGAATCATAATTTTGCCGAGGTCCGGAAACCAAACCCCAGGCTGTACCCTGCACTGTTGAGGTTGCTACACCATTGCCGGTACGATGCAAATATTGTGCGGTCCTGGTTAATACGATGTGCCCGAATGATGTGTTTTTTGCCTTAAGCTTATTCGAGCCCGTACCAAAAAACAGGTGTCCCAATTGGTGCATTTCTTTTGGACGGCCTTTTTTGTCGGGGGGTGACTGTCTGCTGATGGTCAATCTTAAGGCACCCACGACTTAAAACCCCCGCCCAAACCCTAAAACCCTGGCCCTGAAGCTCGAAACTGTCCCTAAACTCGAAACCCCGCCCCAAACCCTGACCACACTGAACTCTTGCTGTACTACTACGTACTACTGTACTCCTACTGTACTCCTACTGTACTCCTGCTGTACTACTACTGTAATACTACTGTAATACTACTGTGATACTGTACTACTACTGTACTACTTACTAATTGTACTATTACTGTACTACTGCTGTACTACCGTATTACTATTGTACTACTACTACTGTACTACTGTACACTACCAGGGGCCAGACCTGGTCCATAGTGGAGGGGGGTGTAGGCTGGAAGGTAAAGTCTTCAAAATGAAGGGTTTTAAGTCTTGGTAGTTATCTTCCGGGGCTTGGTTTCGAGCTCTTGGTCCTGAACCCTCGTATTGTACTACTTCTGTACTACTGTTGTACTATTACTGTACTACTACGTACTACTGTACTATTACTGTACTTCTACCGTACTACTACGAGCTACTTTACTGCTACTGTACTACTACTGTACTATTACCGTACTACTGTACAATACAACTACTGTACTACTGTACTACTATTGTATTACTACTGTACGACCACAGTACTGCTGTACTACTACTGTACTATTACTGTACTACTACTATGCTACTGTACACTACCAGGGGTCAGACTTGGTCGATAGCGCAGGGGAGTGTGGCTGGAAGGAAAAGTCTTCTAAATGAAGGGTTTTTAGACTTGGGTATCTTCTATTGTAATAAGGAACCCCAAAATCGTACAAGTAATTCATGAGGCCTCGACATTATCCAATTTCGGCGAGTCACGGATTTTGACCCCCCTTCTGAAACTAACACGAGCCCATCCTTGAAAAGGAGAGCCGGTCAATTATGTGCTGCTCCATGTTAGTCTCGAAGAGGGTAGAATGCGGGCGTGACCCGATACGCTCCGCTTCGAGGACGGCCGCTACATCGTCAACCTCTGCGATACCTTCTTTGAGGCTTCAAGCGGGAGCCTAGACAACAGAAAAAATACAAGAGCTAAATTTTCTAAACCCGAAACCCCAAACCCCGGACTTAGCAGTTTAGGGGTGGGGCATCAGACCGCTTGCGTGTGGCTGTTTGCTTTGCAACCGTGAAAGTGACTTTGCAGGTTTTGTTTTTGACAGGGTGTTGTAGATGGGATGTAGTGTCTCGGCGGTTTTTGTTTAACAGGTGTGTCCGGAAATCCTGTTAGTGCGGGAAGGATCTAGAGGGTGTTTGGGCATGTGGTGGGGCTTAGTCTCTAAACCCTGAAACCTCCTAGTCTAAACCCTGAAACCTCCTAGTCTAAACCCTGAAACCTCCTAGTCTAAACCCTGAAACCTCCTAGTCTAGCCCTAAACCCTAAACCCTAATCCCGGAATGCCAGACCCGAAGGTTTCAAGCCGTGAAACTTCGATGCGCCCCAAGCCGTCTAGAGCCTGTGCAGTTTAGCCGGTGCGATTGTGTTTCATTTTTTTTTCATTTTTCTCATTTTTGTTTTTAATCTTGGGGGGTGTCTCTTGTTACTCAACCCTGAACAGCAGGCTCCGGTCGTGAATACTCGGGATTATGCCATATGCCTTGTCACTGTCGGAATTATCGTGCTCCGTAATAAACCTGCTTATGTTATCAAAGCCTCTATGCTACACCCTAAACCCCAAACCCTAAACCGTAAGAGCAGTCCTGTTATTTGTGGTCCAGGGCGTATCTCTGTGCTGGGTTGCCTGACGATCCCAGCAAGCCTTTAAAAACATGTTGCATCACGGTGTTAAGGCTTATAGGATACCCTTAAACCTACAGTAAGCCCTATGCCTCAAATCCCTAAAGCCTAAACTCCTAAACCCCAGGCCCAAAAACAAAGCCTAAGCCGCAAACCTCTGCCCTGCACGACGCGACCACTTGAGCTGAAGTCTTCCGAGAGTCCAATATCGAAGCCTGGAAGCATTCCAAAGACAGTAATAATATGGGGGCCTTAATAATTACCTATACCATTCCTTAGGCTTCCTGAGTGCTATCCCATTTCGTGCTGCTTGCTACCACCATACTGCAGCATACGCAGAAGACCATATGTTCTAAGTACCCAGACCTTCCAAAACCGCTTAATTAAGGAGTATACCTTAAATTATAGTAGGTCCCTAATATGATTTAAGGTATATTGCTTAATTAAGGGATTTTGGAAGGGTTGGGTATCAAGGCCCCTACGTACTACCGTAATGCAAGGAAAGGCCTGAACCAGTGAACGACTACAGAGACCGCTGGAAGACCGTGGTTACGTTGCAGTTCAGGGTTTGTGGTTCGGGGTTTAGGGTTTAGAGTTTAGGGCTCAGGGTTCTGGATCTGGGTTTGGAGCCTGTGGCTTGAATTTCAGGGTTTACAGCTACATTCTGACAACACTGCACTATGAGAAATGCTAGGAAATGACAAGAAGCAGGAGAGCACAGCGAGCAGCCAGACACGCAGAACTGTGTGGCATTGCCAGCACTTTAGACACTCAAAGCGTTTCAATCTTAATTCCTGCGCAATCCCAAAGGAAGTGCAGCGACATCTATCTGGTGTTAGGTCTATGTGGTTTCGGTTCAAGAAAGAGTGTAATCCTAGGCTGAGCACTCTACAAGGTATTCTTGCAGACAGCGCTCCGGGTTGTGGCAGGAATCACAGAACGAGCGCGTCTCCACTATGGTCCACGAAATTTCGCACCACTTCGGCACCATCGATGCCGCCTGCTTAGCTGCGCTGGGTATATACTGCGTTTTTGCTTCAGTATATCTGAATACTTGTGTGCTTTTGCTTGTGGTTATTTGCTCCGGGTTTTAATGTGTATTCAGAATCATGCAGCGAAGATAAAGTTCCGTTGAGATTTTGGCCTTGAGCTCTGAATACAAGCAACTGGCGATTTGGGATCCCCAGCCAATTCCACTGTGGCTTTCTAGAGATACCGGTTCATAGGAGCTGCAAGTCCTGGATTCTGGCCTAAGTCAACCCTAAACCCTAAACCATAAACCATGTGATCCTCTTCCCAAGACCCTACGGGTTGCTGAGTCCCGCCCTCCCGAAGTCCGAGACTCTGGCATGTGCCTTAGACCTTTTTGCTTCCCCGATCTCTTAATCCTCTACGTCCCAAGCCATAATCTGAACCACACATCCTCAACTGCATGTACCTCGCCCCCTTCATTGCCCGTTAGCAAGCAATCTGCTGCCATAGAGCTATCGTCTTTCGGTTTCCCTGCGGCCTGCCAGACTCGGGCCAGGTCGGTCTTCTTGCGAGGTCAATCTGGGAGTTTGAGTGCCTGAGAAAATATGTATTGTATTTTTCCCGAGCAGCATCTGTTTAATCGCAGGCAAAGGGTTTAGGGTTTAGTATGAACCAGCCCAAACCCTCACCACCGGGTCATCAATTAAGTTTGATATATACATATAAATATATACGGTAGGTATGTATGTATGTTTGTATGTAAATCAAATGATGTATCATATGTAAATATATGCATATATATACATATATATATATATATATATATATATGTGTACATATATATATATATATATATAAATATAAATATATAAATATATAAATATAAATAGATATATATATATATATATATGTTAGCATATCATGACATATCATATTACGTATGTACATATATTGTCACCACCTCCCATGATCTACCTCCGCCCTTTTTCTATATGTACCACCCATCGAAACCACCGTAAATACCGGTGTTTTGCTGTTGTCAGAAACTCAGATATCCACCCAAAACTGTGTCACAAAATCGCTGCTTCGGAGCTTAACGAGGCAAAATACAGTTCAAACAAAGCAGAACAGCAACCTGCGCCATGTGAGGCTGAATTGTATTCTGGTTCGAACCTGATGACGGACTCGCATAAGACATTGACAAATAGTACAGAAATCCCAAAATCCAAAAATCCAAAGATTTTAACAGAATCTTTGGATTTGCCTATTTCTTTGGTTTTTGGATTTCAATGTGTTTTTTGGTTTTTGGGGTAGAACCCAAAAACACAAGGAAATGTTTGGATTTTGTTGCTGTCGCGTGTCAAAATGGTTGTATTCTCCAGGTTTTTTGGATTTTGTAGCGAAATCCAAGAAAAAAGGCCTAAGGAACACACAGATTCCGACCAGCGACACGAACAAACATCAAAGTTTTCCTAGGGAATTTTTTGGATTTTACAACGAAATCCAAAGAACCTAGAGGGTATACTGATTTTGACCAGCGACATCAGCAAAATCCAAACACTTCCTTGTGTTTTTTTGGATTCTCACCCAAAAAATCCAAAAAAACACATTGATATCAAAAAAAAAAAGCGAATCCAAAGATTTTGTGAAAATCTTTGGATTTTTGGATTTGCGAGCGTTTGCAGTTATCTAACCTCACATTCGATCCTGCGGCTACTGAATATAAGTATCATACAAGAAGTATGGGCTCTCCAACAAGCTTAGAGCAAGTACGCGAGTTTCAGCTGGGAGGTTGTGATGTGATCCCGTATCCGCACTCGGTTTTCATGAAAGAAGACTGTAGCATACATACGGAACCCCCCTTGTTATTTGTGATATACCATTAAAAGTGTTGTTCCAACCCAAACAATATGCTTGGGTAGATGCATACAGAACATCTGTGCGAGTTTGTTTTCTTTTGCAACACGACACGCGGTCGTGCACGAATGCATGAGCCAAGCGATTAAATGAGGGAAATGCAGGATCTAGGTTTTAGGAAATCCCTGAACAAACGGAAGGCTGCTTGGAGAGGAACTTATAGAAATAACGGATTACCGTTTGGGGTTCCCCCTTTGCATATCCTTCAGAATACCTGCTACAATACCTTGTGGAAGAACCAATAGCATACCCTTTAGAATACCTTCTTAGATGATATTGCACAACTCCACTCTTTTGCCCTATATATATATATATATATATATATATCTATACACATATATATACACACACACCTTGTGGAACACCATCTGGAATACCGTGTAGAATATGTACCTTATACAAGACCACCTATTTATATGTTTCCGCACGCCTTAGATTACATATACTCTATACAACACCCTATGCAGTACACTATATAGAATACTTTAAAAGATGACCTTTAGAATACTTCCCCTATTGCCCGTAGAAACTTTAATATATAATACACTAACCTAGAATACCTCAATGCCATATTGGATACTCTATAGCTGTTAGAATACCGCATAACATACCTTGAGGAATAATTACCCACGTACACCTACCTGAAAGAATACCTTATACAATAACTTATGGAACACCCTGTGGAGTACGACATAGAATACCTTGCAAATCCCTTATGGAATGTTTATTGCGCTCTATTAATCGTACGCCTTATGGAAGATCATCTGGAATATTCTATAGATACCTTAAGAAAACCCCCTATGACCCTATATGTGATAGCTCCTCCAGACCGTGTATATACCCTAACACTCTCACACTGTATGGTGCCCTTAGGATGTGTATAAGGACAATCCGGACGAGCCCAAAATCTGAGAATCCCCCCATACAACTGTAGCTTATTGGGTACGGGGTTTCTAGGAAAGAAATTAGGAATCGAAGAGAATTGTCCATAAAACACCTTGCCACCTTGCAAAATATATTGCTACGGACCATACAAAGTTTCATATGGCTTAACCCAAGTAATACATTATAGAATACCCCTATATACCTTTATGCACCTTATTGAATATAGCTTCTAGATTACTTAAACACGTTTTACAATGCAAGTCTTACGTTTATTCTTATGCCTTGTAGAATTCCTTATACACCGCCTGTCGGAAAACCTTCTTGTATGCCCAAAGAAATACATTACATAATATGCCTTTTATAGACTTTATAGAATACCATCTGCAATACCCTATAGCCAACCTCATACAATACGCCCTGCGTCTGATACTCTCAGTATACCCCATGGAAAACCCTAACGGCATCCCTATAAAATACCCTTGGAATGCACAAGAGAATGCCTTGTAGAAAACTTTACAGAATAACTACAAATAAAGACACAACCAGGAGAATAGTACTATATATAATACCTGCTATATGCCCAGTATGTACCTGTTGTTTACCACATATAGAATACAATGCCTTACAGAATACTTGGCCGATAAACTATGTATATAGGGAGAATCAGGAAGATCCCAAGATCTGGAAGCCACCCGTTGAATTACAGCTTCTTGAATAAGGGATTCATATGAAGGAGATTCGGCATCTAAGATCTTGTTTGTATACGCTAATTAATCGCAGCTTATCTAGTACGGGGTAGTAAGGGGTCTATTTACTGAAAATCAGGTGTGCAGTGCATGCAGGATCGGAGAATTCCCGATGTAAACCGAAGTTCATTTAATAAAGGAATCAACTATGTAAAGAAACGCAGGAGCCCTTGACGTAACAACCCTTTGTTAAGTTCGAAGCTTATTCTGGGCCAACGAGATTGCGTTACGAAGAAGCACGCTAGCCATGGGAGCATTGATGCGACAAGGCTACAAAAAGGATCGCCTGATGAAGCCTGATCTGACACGAGTTGGGAAATGAGCGAACACACATGTTTGCAGAGCACGGCTGGAGAATGAACGAACCTGGCATCTACAAGGTTTGTTTAGAGCTTAGCGTGTGTATAGGTGCAACTAAGGATTTGCTTTTGGTGGCCCAACTCTCCGAAATTGGAGCATATTTCTCGAGACAGTCCCACAAAAATAATAACACCAAAACCCATGAGCCTCTAAATGAGCAAATTCTCCGAGACAATCCCAACAAAAGCAAAGATTCAGAGCTATTCCAAAGGCCATTTCTCGAGACAGTCCAAAAAAGACCAGAAATGCCAAAGCCCATAGGCTAGGAAATGAGCACAGTTCTCGAGACAGTTCCAAAAAACAACGAAAATACCAAACCCAGAGGCCACGAAATAAAGATATTCATCCATACAGTCCCAAAACAACCAAAAAAACAAAAATTCCAAGCCATTGGGGCTGTTTCCAGAAATGGCTTTTGGGATACTTCTGAATCTTTGGTTTTGTTGGTACTGTCTCGATGAATATGCTCAGTTAGAGGCCAGAGTAGCTTGCAGATAAACTATGTATATAGGAAGATTCAGGAAGAGCCCAAAGCCCCTGTTGAATTACAGCTTTTGGAATAAGGGACTTATGCAACGAGGCTACGAAAAAGATATCGCCTGATGAAGCTTGATCTGACAGGAGCTGAAGTAATGCATTGTAGAATACCCCTCCATATACCTTATATGCATCTTATTGAGTATAGCTTATAGATTACTTGACTACGTTGTACAATACAACTTTTACGTTTGTTTTTATGCTTTGTCGAAATCCGTATACAGGGCCTTTCGGAATAGGAAGTTAGCTGTGATGCCATTGATGAAGACGACAGTTGAGAAGACAGGAAAATGCACTGTTCGAGCAATTGCAGGCTGCGGAATTCAGTTCTGTCGTCAGGGTCAGTTTCAGTTGCGGACTGTGCGTGTTCGCGTATTCCCCAAACCCACCAATGGTAGATCATGGGGGGGCGAGCATATATATATATATATATATATATATATATACATATATATATATATATATATATACATATATACATATATATATATATACTATCGCACATCAGTTTACAATGAAATACTTTTTTGCAAAATACACATACAACAAATCGGCTGCACTATGTCATATTACGGTTGATGTTTACTTAAATGACCCTACACGACGGGAATTATGGTACATTCCTTGTTATGGGTAGTGCAGGATTTGTCTCATCAACACTTTCTTGAGCTATGCCATACGATTGCGAATGGTACTTTTTGCAAGACTTTGTTCTCCTTTTTTCATAACATGTGATATTATGGTATAGTCTGTCATGCCCTATCTAGTTCATCCCCGATTAGAACATAAGTTGTTTTCTGTTGTGATATGTTCCTCTATGTGACGAAACCGTATGAACCATGTCATAGCAAATAATCTACTCAATACTGTCAGATATCACAATTCATGTCATTGTGTTTTTCTTTATCACCCTCTAAGACGATCTTAGATTGTATCATATCATACTGGCTTATAGTAAGGTTTAGTATAGGCTAGCCGCGTATAGAAGCATCCAATAACATGTTGTATTATACATCTGTCCATCCCTGTTATGTGTATATATATATATATATACACATATCACACATTTATATATACACATATACATATACACATATATGTTGGATGTGCTGGGGATCCTTTTCACGATCAGCTTAGCCCTGGGCTCTGGACCATATTTTTGCGTGTTTTCGCAGACTCTCCCGCCTTAGGCTTCATACGCGGGCCCTCCATACATGTTTTGGTGTCTCCGAGGTACCTTGGTAAAAGGGAAGGACCCGTTTGTTGGAGGTCAAGTAAAACTCGCGTTGAACCAGCAATCGGACGTAAGCTCCACTTGCTTCACCAGAGGCCAAGACTCCAAGCGGAAGGCATGCGTACGGTGAGGAGCCTCGGTTTAGGGTTCAGGGTTTAGGGCTAAGGGTTTCGGGTTTAGGGGGTTTAGGGTTTAGGGTTCAAGACTTAAGGGACTGGTAGGAGACTGATGCCAAAATTGCAACTATTGACCCGCTTACCCTAACTACTGACCCTCAAACCCTGAACCCAAAGCCCTAAACTACCTTAAACACTCAACCGTAACGGCACTAACGATGCTAAGGTGGGAACCTGATTAAGAAACCCTGGCCCTGTAACCCAATATATTAGGATTCATAAAAGGAACCCTAATAAAGGCCCAAGGTCTCTTAATCAGGTTCCTGTGTCGCACCCCCCAAAAACCCTTACAGTACCCTTACAGTACCCTTATAGTACCTGTATAGTACCCTTTGAAGGAACTTTAAAGTTTCTTAATCAAGTTCCTACATGAATGGAAGCCTGCGGATACATTCTCACAATCGGCCTGTCGGTTTCAAAGTTGAGAACTTCAGGACTCTGAGGATTTCTTCCGGTTCCATGGCTTTGACCCAGTCCTACCAAAACCTACTGCTTTTGTAGGGCTCCTACAACTTCCATATTAGGGTTTACACTAAGAACCTACACAATAGTAGGGTTTGGTAGGTTGAGGTAGACCCTAAACTAGGCAACGGCCTGCAAAGCTTTAGTGCTCGTCGATTTTGTAGTACCGCTAGTATAAATAATCCCAAATGTAAAGGCTAACCTACCATAAACCCTGGAAACCCTTGGACACCCTATAAAACCCTAAACCCTAAACCCTTGAACCCTAAACCCTAAGCCCTAAAACTCGAAGCCCTAAAGAGCTATAACTTAAGGTATATTCCTTAATTTTAAACGCTTCGCGTCGTCCGCCTCTGCCCGGCCGTGACGGAAGCAAGCGCACTGTGAAGGCGTCCTTGAAGGACTCTCAAACCCTAAGATTTAGTTTAAAAAGAGGCATCCTTTTTTCCCATGTTTTCCCGGCTCTTAAGGTTGGTTGAGGTATGCAGACTGAGGACCTTCATCCCGTCACGACTTGCTCCTAAGACCCTATATAAACCTCAACGCTTCATCTCTCAAGCCTAAACCCTCATTCTTCGCTGCATTTTCCTCAACGGCGGCATCGATGCCATGCTCGGTCGGGCCTTCCAGAGCGATCTATAGTCATAGTGTTTCCGAACCTGTAAGTTTTGTAGCCGACAGCTCGCAAGCTTCAGTTTCTGAGCCTTGTACAAGTCGTAGCAGCAGCGGATGGAGCTTGCGCTGGCACCGGAACAACCGTGTCTAAGACGCGCCGAACACGTTTTGGGACAAGGCGAGAATCCACCGCCGGACCTTGGGGCTCATCTAGTCAACGGGTTTCCTTGTTTTAGGGGGGGTCCAGCGGGCCCCCTTGGAAGGGGTTCCCTTTGAATAGGAACCTGTGGCCGCTTCGGCCGCGCCTAAGGCGAATTAAGGGGTATTGGGCTTTCTGGGTCCCCTTTATACCTGACCGCTGGCAGGAGAAATGCCTCCAGTTGGACTCCGAAAACGCCGTAGCTTGGCTTCCCTAAGAGTCCATATACCCAAATATAGTATATACTTTGGCCTTAAGTAGGTAGGCCTTGGGGACATTTCTGATTTCCCGTACTATTGGGCTACGAAGAGGTTCTTATTTACGAATGCTTTTCAGGGGCTTTCAGAGGCCAGCCTAGATAGAATAGTTGCTTTGCTCGCTGCGTTGGACCCCTAGGAATGGAAGACTCATTCAGTATGTACAGGTCAAGCAGTTGCAACCTGTAAGTATATCTTTCTTGGAGCTCCATTTGAGATCCGCACAACGTTTCCCCTAAGGCTGGGAGTACGGTTTGGGGTGTACCTGTGGATCCGAAAACCTACCGTTTTAAGGGTTATACCCTCTAATTAAGGTGTCATAACCTACTATTTTGCAGGGTTTGGGGATACAGGTAACTATAAATCTAGCTGGTGAGTTTGAGGGTCTTAACAGAGACAAACCTGCTACTATGTTTGGGCCATTTACTTTGTTCACGCGCACATTGGCCAATCTAGGAAATCTCATGCACTTCTGAGAATCGTGCAAGACATGTCGGCTGCGTCCACAACCCGTCGCAGTAGCAGCAAGCTCGTATCACCCCTGAGCTTGTTAATTTCCGATAATTATCAGGGCTAAACTGATCATTCCACATCTCTTATCCCTAAACATAATTGTTAGGTAGGCCTTGGTCCAGACCCCAAAAGACCCTACGACAAACCTAGATTGCCTGACAGCCTCGCTAAAGTTCTACTTCTCACAGTGCTGCAGTGTAATAGCCTATACAACCCTTCCTGAGGATCCGAAAACCTACCGTTTCAAGGTTGTACCCTCTAATTAAGCGGTCATAACCTACTATTTCGTAGGGTTTGGGGATACAGGTTCTTCCTTTGAAACTCGAATAGTTATCCGCTACACAATAGAGCCATGAGCACGCCTGTTTCATCCCCTCTGGATTGCACCGTCCATGTTAATGCAGGGCCCCCCCCCACCAGTGGTCATGGTGACTTTTCGATTATTGCTATTCCCAGTAGTAGAGTAGGTAACCTTTAACCTTTTTTGGGTAGTATAGTCCCTACATTTAATCCTGTATAACCCAGAACGTTAACCTTTAGTTTTCCATGATACCCGACGAGTAGATCTTGTTGTTGTTGCCGCATTGTAATGGCCTCAAACACCAAGCCATCGCTTGTTCCGCCCTGTATCCCCAAACCATGCAAAACAATAGGTTGTGACCCCTTAATTAGCGGGTAAAACCTTTTAAACAAATAGTAGGTTATGACCCCTTAATTAGAGGGTATAACCCCTTACACTAACAAACAGTAGGTTATGACCGCTTCATTCGAGGGTATAGCCCTTCAAACGGTAGGTTTTCGGATCCACAGGTCTGCCTTAGCTCCTACTCAGGCGAGGAATGCGGACACCTACCTTTTCGCTGTGAGGAGCCTCTCACGGTGTTTAGGGTTTAGGGCTTATAGTCTAGAGTCTGGGTTTAGGGTTTAGGGTCTAAGGTTCAGGGTCTAAAGTTTATAGAAATTGTATATGTTTGGGTCCGGGGTTTTGAGCGAAACGTTTTGACAGGGTTTTGTTTTTGGGATTGATGTTTTGATATTGGAAGTGGGCTGGGCTAGGGTCCGGGCTGGCTGGGATGGGGCAGGGACGAAAGTTTTTTGACCTTTCCAGTTTTTGCTTTTGGAAGTGCTCTGGGCTGGGGTGGGGTCCGGGATGGCTGGGGTGGGATTGGGGCTGGGGGGGGGGGGGGGGTGGGCTGGGTGGGCTGGGGGTGGGCTGGGTGGGCTGGGCTGCTTCGTTGAAATTGCGGGGTTCGACAGTCTTGACCGAAACGTTTTAACCGAAAGTTTTGTTTTTTTGATTTGTGATTCCGCATTCTGCTTGGCTTGGGTGGGCCTAGGGGCTCTGGGCCGGGCTGGGCTGCTGGGCTGCTGGGCTGCTGGGCTGCTGGGCTGGGGCTGAGGCGGGTCTAAATTCTGAAGGGGTGGGGGCTGGGGCTGGGCTGGGCTGCTGTGGCTCGGATGGGCTGGGCCTGGGAGGCTTGGGCTGGAATTTAACTGGACATGTTTAGTGAAAAGTTGAGGCTAATGAAAATGCAGTCCGAAGCGAAATTCGCACAATTTCTATTTATCTTGCTCTTGAGGGTTTGGGGTTTGGGGTTTAAAGTTTAGGGTTTCAAGGTTTAGGGGTTAAGGTTTAGGATTCAGGGTTGAGGGTTTGTAGTGTTTTGGGTGCCGACCCCCGACCTTAATTCATCTTAATTCCTGGACTCACAGGCCCAGTGCTACAGTACAGCACATTGTTTCTCCCAACACCACCGAAAAGAAAGATCTGTACACCTCAGGGTCGCATTAGTTCTGTCCCTTAAGCTCTGAACCCTCCACCCTAGACATATACAAACCTCATGTATACTCAAGCTAGAGAAGCCCTATAAAATCCCGATAAATACCTAATTCCCAAATCCCTAAACCCTTAAATCCCTAAGCCCTAAACCCCTAAATCCCCAAACCCTGAACCCCTACATCCCTAAACCTCCGAGCCGTCCAAGCCTCAAGTGCGGCGAGGGACTTGGCGAAATCCGGCACTTCCGCCGGATCTGGCTTGTCAGTGGAGGAGTGGGGTTTACCACTCCTCAGCAATTACTGTAGGGGCCGAAAAAACACAACCCTATTTTGGAGCTTCCTTATTATAACTATAGTACCCCGAAACCCTAGTCTATCATTAAGGCCCCTATAGTGTACGGATGCTGTAAGGCTCTCTCATGAGACTTACTATTTGTATTTGCCTTTATTGTATATAGCTGTTGTTTCGAAGGTTTACGATAACGTTAACTGGAAGGTTACTATATGGATTTAGGGGTTTGGAGCCTAGGAAGTAGTGTTTGCGGCGGTGTGGGTTTAGAGTGGTTGCTGCGGGCGTGATGAGTAGAGGTGGCCTGAGACGCTATCCAGGGCTCGGGATTACGGTTCCCTTACACATCTAATGGTAGTAGACTTGCCGACGGCTCACACGATGCCTCGGGGATTTTGATCCTTCACGACCCGAACAACGACGTTAACGAGGGTGCGTTTCGACTTCTGGTTCGAACAGGAATCAGAGATGGTATCAGAATATTCGCCTCTGCTGACCTGCTGAGTTTATAGTATTCTATGTAATGGCATGATGTAACCTAGCTCTTGAGGCTGATTTGTAGCATGGGCTTGGAATTATGCCTTTAGGAAGTCTACGTTCAAGGTTGAGATGTAGGTCGGAGTGGCATTGGCAGCAAACGTTATGCATGGCAATCTGCGGTGGTTTCGAACAAAAACAGCACCCTTCAGCCTCTTTAAGCTTTAATATCCAACGGCTGATGGCCCCTTTTTGAAAAGAACCCGAATTTCTGATTCTGAAGTCCGACCCGCGGCCACCCCGCAGAACGCAGTCCTCAGGCACGAAAAGCTCTAAGCACTGTCCCGAGGATTCTGGGCTGCTTAAACAGCTCGACAGCAAATCCCTAGCACAAGGCCACAAACTCAACCCGAAACCCCGAGCCCTAAACGCTGAACTGCCCCTAACTTTAATGAGCTCTTGGTAGCCGTTATGTATGGTAAATCTTTATACTCACAGCCAGGAAGCCCATGATCCCTAGCTTGAAATCCTGAGCTGCTCTACACTCAGCCGGCTCTCGATCTGACGCCACCGACTCTCACGAACAAAGACCTAAGGGTCCATGTGCCCACATAGTATGCACTTTGGCTTTAAAGTAGTCCCTGTAAAGATACTTTAAGGCCAGAGTATCTAAATCTACTATATGGGTGCATGGACCCTTAGGGAAAGCCCGCACCAGGCCGAGTGAGGTGTGACAAACGGGGTTTCAGTGATATAGGGGCCTAAATAATTACCAATACTATTGTGGGGGTTCCATATTCTAATTGACCCCAAAACCCTATTCTAACTGTTAAGGGCCCCTATATTAGGGATCACGGACCCGACAACAAGGGCCCCATATTCGGGAATCTTAAACCCCGTCCCTTTCCCTCTCGCCGAGCCCAAAACAGCACAAAAGCTGGAGGACACCATTGTTAAAGCCCTCCATATGACATCTGTCTAAGCCAAGGAATAGAAGCCCTAAGCCTAAAATCTTTCAGCTCTTTAATGTAAGGGTCGTAATAATTACCAATATGTTCGTGGGATTCCTCATTATACGTATAGTATAATGGACCCGAAAACCCTATTCTAATTATTAAGGCCCCTATAGCAGCTAAACCCTCAAGCTCCGGACCCCAATCCTCCAGAGAATCCGCAAAGCAATTCTCAAGGGCGCCTAAACCGACTCTTTTGCCCTCCACTGGGCCTCCAATGCTGAACCCAAAGCCTGCCTTAAGCCCGAAACCCTTAAACCCCGAAGCTCTAAACCACGAAACCCCAAAGACCACCTTAAAGCCCTAAACCCCTCAGCCGCTGCACCCCTAAACTGGGTTCTTGTTAAGGAAGTAATTTAAGTTTCTCCACAAGAAGGAAACCATAGTCTTTCTATAGATCCCTGGTATGGTAACTTAAACTAAATTCCTTAACAAGAATCCAGTAAAACCTAAGCGCACCCCTAAACCCCTAAAACCCTTAAATCTTTAAAACCCCTGAACCCCTAAACCCTAAGGTAAAAGCCAGAAAGTTGGAATGTGATTGTGCACAACTACGAAGGAGCTCAAGGCGAAACTCTTCGACCTCGTGGGTCTGACAGAGGTCAAGGATGCCATGAGGACGAAGGGGGGGGGGAGGGGAGGGGGGAGGGGGAGGGGGGAGGGAGGGAGGATGGGAGGGGATGTAAGGTTTTTGGTGCTTTTAGGGTTTTAGGAGATTAGGGATGTAGGGTGTTAGGGTTTTAAGATTGTGGGGATTTAGGGTTTAGGGATTTAGGGTGTAGGGGTTTAGGGTTTTAGGGATTTAAGGTTTAGGGCTTCAGGGTTTAAGGATTTAGAATCAGAAGCCCTTTAGAGGTCCTTTTAAGGGTTCCGCAGGGTTTGAGGGTTCGGTTCCTTTAAGGGTTCCTTGGGGCTTAGCGTTCCTTTAAGGGTTCTATAAGGCTAAGTATGCAGAAATTCTGATCGTTCCACTGCTGCAGCTGCTTTTCCTGCTTTCTAGCGCTGTTGGTTGAGCGCTTATCTTACCGACGGAGCTGAGGATGAGTTGTCCCGCTCGGCCTAACTTACACCACCACCCATGAACCCGAAACTCTACAATGGTGTAGAATCGAGCCATTTTGCACGCACATTCTTTTTTTACCTCAAGCACCCAACCGAAGACAACAGCCCCCTACCCCTTAACCCTGTGCCAAACCCTTTATAACTTATAACTCTCAAAGGAATCCTTTTAGCAAGATCCCTATGGGAATCGTTATAGCAGGACCCTTACGGAGTCTAAACCCCAAACCCTAAACCGAACCTTGTGAGGAACTTGCTCGATCTCGTTGAGTTCGGGAAGGCCTGTGGGCCAGGGTTCAGGGTTTAGGGTTCCGCGCTCAGCCGTGCCACTTCTCCGACACTATGGGTTCAGGCTTTACCCTGAGGGTCCATGTACCCAAATAGTATATACTTTGGGCCCAATGTACCCATATAGGGAGTACTTTAAGGCACATGTATATACTATTTAGGTACATGGACCCTTAGGGTTATAGGCTCTACATGTTAGGATTTAGGGTGATGCGGTTGAGGCTTTAGGCTTTCAGAGCTTAGGGTCATGTTAGGGTTGAGGGTGATACGGTTCAGAGATTGGTTCGGGTGTAAAGGGAACTCCAGAAAGTTGGAATATGGTTTCAGGGTAGGATACCCTATAATTTACCATAAAGGGCTTAGGATAATCATATTCCAACTTTCTGGCTTTTACTTTAATGTGACGGCTCGTTTAATACAATGGGCCTCTTTACTGCGTCCCTTGTTTGCTAATTCCAGCCGGGACCAAAAAAACGGCGGCCTAATTACTGCATTTTATTGCTGGGTGAATTTGTTTTGGGGATTGTTGTCCTTTCTGCTGATGATCAATCTTAAGGCACCCACGACCTAAACCCCCCCAAACCCTAAAACCCTGGCCCTGAAGCCCGAGTGAGTCTCCCTGAAGCCGAAACCCCCCACCCGCACCCATTAAGCCTGAATCGTTAAGTTACCCTTGAGCCAAATCTCAACCCCCCTAAACTCCAAACCGTACTACTACTGTACTACCACGGTACTAACCGTATTTTTGCGGTATTACTGTAGTTTTACTGTACTACTACTGTACTACTGTACACTACCAGGCCTCAGACTTGGTCGATTGTGGAGGGGAGTGTAGGCTAGAAGGAGAAGTCTTCAAAATGAAAGGCCTTCAGTCTTGGTAGTTATCTTGGAGTGATGGGGGCTGGGTTCTTGTGATCCCGACCCGACCCGGAATTCCGCGGACAACCGCAGACCCCCCACCCAAGCCCTCCCCAAGCCTCCCGGACCCCCGAATCCCCTTCTTACTTAATCAACGCCACCCTGACCCGGACCCCGGTCCGAAGGGTCACTGACACCAGACTATTCAAGCCAAAAGTTTTGGTCGCGGGGGGGGGGGGGGGGGGGGGAGGGGACCTATTAATTAAGACGCAACATTAGATGTCGCATGAGACGCCTTTGAAGGTCATATGGCTATTCTTCTTGCGGAGGGGAGGTAGGGGACGCCTCAGTTTGAGTAGGGCTTTGGCAAGCAAGCCACCGAAGTTCGCGTGGAGAGCTTGGAGGGGACAGGGAAGAGTTTGTCGCGCTGTGTTGAAAGCAGCCTTTGGGAACATGCCGCTTTGCTAACGAGCGGTTGGTGCTTGGGGCAGTCAGAGTAATTTGGTACGTATGCCCGGCACCATGATGCTCAAGAACTCATGACAACAGATGCTGTGTTACAAGAAATGAAGTAGTGAAGTAAGCACCACTGCCATCGCTGTCGCAGTGGGCTCTACGAGGACATCAACGGCTGATGCTGCTGCTTCCGCTCCTGCTCCTACCCCTATTCCTACTACGACCACCTTTCCTCCTTCTTCTCCTCTTCCCGCTGCTGTTACTGCATCTAGACGGCCTACACCCTAAACTCTATAATCGCTCAACCCAAACCCCTAAGCGATTCTGACACCACCCACCCTAAATACTGAATACAGATATTAGAATAACTGGTGAGAGTATCCACCTAAAGATTCTACCCCAGCACCCTATTGAAATCAGTAAGACCGCTATGTCATAGAATCCTTATAGCAGCCCTTGTAACAACCATTCAAGATTCCTGTGACGAAACTAAACCTCTTAAACCCTAAACCCCAAAATCCTCACATAACCCATCATAACCCTAAACCCCCTGAAATTTAAAACAAGAGAGACAAGCGATACCTGGGCCAGATGCGAGAAGCGAAGGGCCTCAGCAGCTTTTCCGGGCAAAGCCTGGCACTCGGATGTCACTTGTGGTTCTGTGTTGGTCCAGCGTCTGCCTGAAGATCCGAAACCCTACCGTTTTCAGGGTTCTACCCTCTAATTAACGGGTCATAACCTACTAATTTGTAGGGTTTGGGGTCACAGGCGGAGTTTATAGGTTTATAGGGTTCCAGAAGGGACTTACCAGGGCCTTACAAGCGTTCTATAGGACTCAAGGATTTAGGGTTGATTGAGTGTGGGGTTTGGGGTTTAGGGTCTGGGGTTGCGCGGAAGAACTTTAATGCTCCTAGGAATTAAGACAACTTAAGGGGGTTAACAAGAATATCGTCATTACTTTGGTTGAGAGGGCGGCTCAGAGACGGGTTCTGGGTTTAGGGCTTTCGGGGTGTAGGGTTGAGGGTATCGGAGTCGGAGTATAGGCCGGTTTAGGTTTGCTAGAGCACGGGTGGAGTTAAGATCTCGAGAGAAGCCCTTAGAGGAGCCTGAAGTCCCTCGAAGGATCCCTTAAAGGAGTTCTTGAAGGATCCCTTTAGGGTTTAGGGTTTAGGGTTTAGAGGAGTTCTTGAAGGATCCCTTAAAGGAATCCGTCAGGAGGTGAAGATTTCGGCCTGTGGGAGTTTAAAGCTTTTGCGGTTTGGTGAGACCCTCGACCACGAATGGCGCACGAAATGTCTACCACTATCAGAGCCGGGCATCATGATTCCCACACACAGGCAGTAGTCCTACGAGTGTAAAACGCTGTAGCCCTGAGATCCCAACCTTGATCTCGAAAGAGCTTTTTAAACCCTTGACCCTGAACCCTAAACCCAAAGCCATAAACCCAGTTTCACTTTTGAGCTGTAGGGCCCCTTACATACCGGGACCCTCAACCATTCTAAACCGGCAAAATAGAACATAAACCCGAAGCCCTTTATGAACCCTGCACCCTCCCTAGACCCCCCAGCTAGCCCTTATTGTAGCCTTTAATTACCTCTTCATGAGAGTACCCTTGAAGATCCTGGTCCACCCTAAGGCTTGAACCCTCAACTCTGGATCCGGCTGTAACGTTTTCTCACTGGTGCTTAGTAGGGAATGGGGGAACGGATCCCGAAAGTAGTCCCTTATTAGAGTTCCTATAAAGGGGTACTACATGATACTGAAAGGCTTCCTTTAAAGGGATCCCTATAGTATCCCAATAGTAGTCCCCAATATCCATTCCCCCATTTCCTACTAAGAACCAGGGAGTTTTTCGGGCTTTGGATGTGCCCAGGTCTGCACATGCGCTTCCTGGGCAATCCCGGAACTGGAAAGACGGTCCGCATAGTGGGTTTGGCGTAGGGTGCAGTGCTTCGTTTGTTTAAGGGTTCATCTGGGGGTTAAACGGTTTTAGCCTAGTCTGGGCAATAAGTATGGAACGGTTTGGGGGTCATGTAAAGATTCAAGACCAGCGTATCGTGCTCATACGGGATAAAGCTATAGCGAATGTGGCAGGGTATGGGATCCTAGGGGTTTGAGATCGTCACCATGGCCCGATAGATCTTCTGATGGACGTTCACTGTGGGGCTTTATGACGCCTCGTGTGTAGTTGATGTGCTCGGGGGCGATGTGTTTTCTTCAGGGCGGCTAAATGTATACTGTGGGCATTTGCTGCTGGACCCCCTAAACCCTACACCGTAGAGACACAGGGATGCCGACAAGTTTCCTGGGATGAGGTAAAGAACCAGCCCAGGGGTGAACCCGTGTGTTTTTGGTGATGAATCTTCCCACTGCGTCAGCAAGAGCCATGAGTCAATCCAGTGTCTCACCCCGGGAGTCCCGGTGCGCAAACAGTAGGGCTAGAGGTCCCAACTCTCTAGTTGAACCCAACCTTCTCAGAATCTAGGAAGAGTTGCACGCCTCATGCGCATTTCCGAAATATCGGATAAGCGCGACCCCGTCTTAGAGGTGGTTGCCCGTCTGGTGGGTGAGCTGCTTCTGTCCATGGGCGTGGCCCGGCAGGGACAAGCTGAGCATGAGTTTGGGGTTTCAGGGTTTGAGACTTTCGGATTGCTCGGTTAGGGTATCTAGGATGCCCAGTAGTACCCTTATTCCCTTTTTGTAGTCCTAGGTTCCTTATAAAGTTACCCAATACCAAAAAGAGGGGCCTTTTTATTCTGAGGTTACTGGGTATCCTAGGTATTTGAAGTTTAGGGTCATCCTGAAGTCTGATAAAAAAAACCCTATGTAGCCCTACATTCTAAAACCCTTCAATTTCTATACCCTGAGCCTGAATCTTGGGAGTTTACCGCCTGGGTTTCAGGGAGCATGGGTTAGGGGGTCCACAGTTTGTTCCCAGTGGTCGAAGCACAGACGCTGCACCCCTACACCCTACCCTAAGGGCCCATGTCCCCATACAGCACATATTAGGGTTTAGGGTTTAGGGCCTTGTGTAGGTCTTACATGGCCAAAGTATCTACTATATGAGTTCATGGACCCTTAGGGCTACGCACTTCTGAAACCTGAACTCTGCAATGCACTGCCTATCTTCAGATGGTGCATTGCTTTTTCCCGGCGCAGACCCGTCTTGAAAAAAACCCTAGAGGTCAGAAACTTCCCAAGCTCAGTAAAGAACGTTTCTCGTCGGGTTGAGGGCAATTTTTTTGCCAGATGAGGTTGTATAACAAGGCTGATTCTTGTAGATTAGTCTAGGATGGCCCTTGTGCTGTTTAGCCTGTGAACCGATAAGAAGTAAGAAACGATAACGTTCGAATGTATGTTACATGAGTACTATGACTAGTCCTATCACGATTACCAGTACCTACGGTTTACGGCTACTGCTCCTACTGAACTTGCTACTGCTATTCCTTCGTGTAGACTGAAGCTTTCGAACCTGCACTTGTACAAACTGAGGCTGGCTGAGGCTTGAGGCTGCCCTAAACCCTAAACCCTAAACCCTAACTGCACTTGCTTGTGCAGGCTGCACGCTGCAAACTGAGACTTCAAAACTTGCTACATGAAACCTCCTTAATCCGAGGCAGGCTGAGTGTCCAAAACGATAGCAAAAAACGATAGCTTTTGTTTGACAGAGTTGCCTTTCGAAGGACATGAGCCATCCAGTTCCTGTGCCAGCTAGCAAGTTGAGGTTTTGTTCACCTGTTCTTGAGACCTGTGGACATTTTGGAACCGCAGTTGTAGATTGCAGATGGGTTGTAAGATGCTGCAAACCACCAGGAGCCAGACCTTTTGCCCATACTTGTCATAAGTGATAATCCTGGATACCCTGTAAAACGATAAGGAGTAAACAAAAAAGCGATAACCCAGTTTGGGGATACAGGGAACTCCAGAAAGTTGGAATATGGCTTCATGGTAGGATACCCTATAATTTACCATAAAGGGTTTAGGATAATCATATTCCAACTTTCTGGAGTTCCCTTTAAGGGATTCATACCGGGGTTTTTATACAACGTCAGATCGCAGATGTGAGTTTGGGTTTCCAATTTACTCTACAGGTTTCGATACACACCATAAGCCCTAAGCCCTGTCCCCCACATATATCTATATTGAAGAAATATGTATAAATGTATATGTATATAATATGTATAAGTATACTTTCCGGTTCTGTTTGGGTCTTACCCTAAACCGAAACCTGAAACCCTAATCTTACTTGCTTTTGTAAGGTTGCCCGCAGCTTGGCCCGGCTCTCTCATCTGCACAAGCTCAAACCCACTGAGCGCCCTCACCCTCAGGTTCCATGTTGCCTATGTAGCTATTACTCAGCCTTACAGAAACCTTTGAAACGGTAGCCTTACAGAACAAAAAACACGGTGTTTGAAAGGCCAGAGTAGATGCTACATGCGCACATTGGCTAGGATGCCCAGTAGTACCCTTATTCCCTTTTTGTAGTCCTAGGTTCCTTATAAAGTTACCCAATACCAAAAAGAGAGGCCTTTTTATTCTTAGATTACTGCGTATCCTAGTTGGGCACCTAGATCCCTGACCCCCCATGAATCTCAAACTCTGGAACCCGAGACTCACTAAGCTCTTCAACCCTGAACCCCAAATCCTACGACAAGAATCTTCAACTCTAAGCCTTGAGCCCTAAATACCGAGGCAATCAAGCCGAAGGACAACAACACGGACGAGGGCTTCAAATTCAAGTCGGGGGCCCCAAAACAATCGGGGCTTGAGGTGAAGCCCTACCCGGTTTCGGGTTTAGGGTTCCGGGGTTTTGGGTTTAGGGTTCAGGGTTTATTGTTTAGGGTTTAGGGTTTAGGGTTCCGGGGTTTTGGGTTCAGGGTTTATTGTTTAGGGGGCCTTGAGATGAAGCCCAACCTGAACCCCCAAAAGAATTTACCTTCTTAGGGGACTTTGATCAGGAAATCATATCCGGGAACCCGAGAAAGAAAAGGATTCTTGGGGTCCAGGTAAACCACCGGAAAAGCTCCACATACAATTGAATAAAACCTTCCTGCAAAAATTCTGCAAACCTCAGTTCTTTCAGAAAAGCTCCATATACAATTGAATAAAACCTTCTCAAAAATTGCTCCAAACCTCAGTTGTTCAGAAAAGCTCCAGCCAGCCTCGCGCAGGGAGGCCTCCCGTGCCGATCTGGTGGGAGAGTACACCGGTTCGACGGCCTTGAAGGTCATCGGACAGATTTTCCTTTTAAAAAGGGGCTAGAGAGGGCTTTTGGTGGGTTTTTAGGGTTTGTAGTTTTAAGTTTGAAGGTCATGGTTTCAGGGGTTAGAGACAAGCGTGGTTAAGGATGTTTTCGGGTTTGTGATTGTGTATGCGTGTTTGTGTACTGAGAACGGAAGGCAGGAACATGGATAGATAATCGAATGGATGGGTGGGATGATGGATTGATGGATTTGATGGATGGATAGGTATAGATGGATACACGGACATGTACTGCACAGTGTTCCGGGCAGACTCGGAGATATTTTAAACCCGAACAATGGACACAGGAGACTACACGTGTCTGCAACTTTCTAAACCCTAAACCCTAAACTTTCGGAAGCACTACGTAATCCGGCACCGGTTAGGCTCCGGCCTGCCGATGCAGATCTCCCCACACACCCTAAACTTTAAACCCTAAGCCCCTGATCCTCTAAACGCAAGACCCTACCACAGTCTCCATTGTAGTTCCTTTTTTTTGCTTAACCAAAACATCTTTTATAGGATCCTAAAAATAAAACTGCTTAACCAAGAAAAGGAAGACTGTAGGGAAACCCTAAACCCTGCAGCACTTCCTTTTGTTGATGAGCTGCCGTTCGATCCGGAGGAAAGATTCACGGTTCGCTGCGAACCTCTTCCCCGGGATCCCCAGACTTATTGTTTCCATGGGTAATAGCCCATACAGGTGGATCCGAAAACCTACCGTTTTAAGGGTTATACCCTCTAATTAAGGTGTCATAACCTACTATTTTGCAGGGTTTGGGGATACAGGTATAGCTAACCCAAAGGCTCCATGTACCTTTATAGTGGATACTTTGGCCTTGAAGGGGTCCCTATGTAGGTACTTCAAGGCCTAAGTATATACTATATGGGTACATGGAGCCTTTGGGTAAGGGTTCATTAACCTGCTGTTTTGTAGGGGTTGCGGCTACAGGTACAGCCTACACCTGCATGCGTGTGTGGGGGGTTCCTTATAGTTATTGTGTAATATACCCCAAAACTTTCTTCTAATTGTGAAGGCCCCTACATTGCCAGATCTCTAAACAGGTGCAGAAGGTCGTGCAAGAGGCTATGGGAGGCGTCCTCTTCATCGATGAGGCTTATGCACTCGTCCAAGGCACGCGGTCTTCAGCACAAAGGTGTTCCGCTCTCGGCTTTGAGTGCTGGGTTTGGGGCTCATAGGATATTACAGGACTTCTTCGTCCGTAGCGAACAGGGCATGGGTGTGCTATTCAGGTTGTTTTGGTTTGGGAGAGTGCAAGGCGTTAACCCGAAGCCCTAAATTCGGCCCGTATCCGAAACCCTAAACCTTGAAACATTGTCCACCCCACACCCCTTGCCCAAACCATAAACGTTGAGACCCAAACCCCCCACAAAAAAAATCCATCATGTCCTAATGCCCATATACGCGAAACCTTAAACCCAAACCCCACACAAAAAGAACATACATCATGTCCTAATGCCCACGTACCTTAAACTCGTAGCACCTTTCAACCCCACGACCCCCCCCCCCCCCTCAACTCCGGATCCTCTCGTAGGAAACACCCTTAACCTTACCCTAAGGGTCCATGTACCTAAATAGTACATACATTGGCCTTAAAGTACTTGGGCCTAAAGTATATACTATTTGGGTACATGGACCCTCAGGGTTAAGGTTTGACTAAATTGGTAACTCTTCCTGTTCCTTAATGTACAGCGAATCGCAAAATGGCCCAATTCCTTTCTTGATTTATCAATGCCCCTGTACTAAGTCCAAAAGCCTCACACTAGGCAGCCGAGACAGTTTCGGTGTCGAAGCTGTGGATACGCTCATCAAGGACCTGATTAGTATTGTTCTTCTTTAGTTCGCGCAAATCGTTGTATATCCTTTTCGTATTGATTTGTCAATGTCTGCGTGATCATTATCGCTACCAGCTCGTGGAGGTTTCCACGGTTTGTATGGTTTGGGAGTTTTGCGCTTAGGAGGGGGTCTTGGTGTGTTGAGGTTCAGTATGTGTTGATTTTGAGTTATTGGGATTTGGTTTTGGACTTACAGCTCTCGGGGATTGCGGTTGGAGCTCATTCTCTGAATTCGGCTCCCTTTTTGGATTCCTTTTTTGTCAGGGTGTCGTACTATTGTGGGGGGGGGCCTACAAAGGGGACCCTGATTTAGAGAACTAACGACCCAAGTGGGCTTTAGGGTGTGGGGCTTAGGGTTGTCGGCGTTGCCGTAGGGGCCTTAACAATTAGAATAGTTGTTGGTGGTATATTATACCATACCCAAAGGGTCCTATGTACTGCTATGGGGGATACTTCCCTAAGTCATAGTAGTAATGCCTAATATGGAAACCCTACATTCTACTATATCGGTACATGGGACCATTTGGGGGTAATGATTTACACTACCAAGGAACCCCCAAAACCATCTTCTAGGGTTGGGAGGTCAAGTCGGTTCTTGTTTGCATATGGGAGTTTCCGAAAATAGGGGACCCAATACAGTAGCCTAAATAGTAGGATCCTTAGTACAAGGGCCCCAAAATAAGGTACCCCTAATTTCCGGAAACTCCCATATGTTCAGAAGCTCTTGAATGGCAAGCCTCAACAGCATCTCCAGGCATAGAAATATTGTGGAAGCCTCGATATTTACATGTTTAAGGGGACTTTGGGGTACACCGCAGTATGATTGACTAATTTGCGTGACAGCCCCCAGAAGATAGAATGGTTGTATTTTTGTTATTGTCCAGTGACAGTGATGACAGTACGGGGTGTTCTTAACATCCCCAAAGGGTCCTAGGTACTGTTACGGGGGATACTTCCCCAAATCAAAATAGTACTTCCTCATACAGAAACCCTACATTCTACGATAAAGGTACTCTGGAACCCTTGGGAGCCCGCAGGCTGAAATGGCCGAACACAGGACCGCGAAACCACTGCACCCTGACAGTCTCAGCCAACCTGTTTCCCAAAACCCCACAAACTAGTAAGACCCCTTAATTAGAGGGTGCAACCCTTAAAACGGTAGGTTTTCGGATCCACAGGTAGTCCCTCTTTAGGTTCTTTGGGGCCAACGATGGCCAAAGTATATAGTATCTGGGTACATGGACCCTTACTTGAAGGGTCGGGGGCCTTATTAACTGGTTATATTACGGAGGTATAAGTATCATAACCCCAAATAGGGCCCCTTTTAGGGTACTTATAAGTCTACTGACTACCTACTTACTAAGTCCCCCGACCCTCCAAGTAGTGTGACAGTCTCAGCCAAGACACTCTGGCAAGAAGTCGCTCAGGAAATGCCTCTCCCTGGCATCTTCACCTGCTCCTAGCCCGGGTACCATAGGGGCCTAAATAAGTACCTATACTATTTTGGTGGTTCCTTACAAGCAAAGTATACTGGGCCCCCAAACCCTATTCTAATTATGAAGGCCCCTGCAGTAGGTTTTTGGGGCTTACGGGCCCATGTGCGGAGATGGGCAAACTCCGCTGCAGAAACGGTAGGTTTATATGTCATGGGTGACTATCTGCAAAAAATCCCAATTCAGTTCCATGTCCAGGAGATGGAAGACAACCGTGCGCATCTCATCGTGTCATCGGCGGCAGTGCTGTGTAAGGGTATGACTTCGCCTTCGGATGTTGAGGTTTAGGGTTTAGGGGTTTAGCGTTCAGGGTTGATGATGTAAATCCTGTTTTACCTAAAATAAGGAATATGCCATAATATTTCCATAGTCTAGCGTCATGAAGGTAATGCAGGATTTATGTCACGAGCCCTATCAGCCAGAGGGTAGGCCCCTGGATGATCAAGTTCAATCAAGTTGCAGTTGTTCCATGAAGCTTTATCTAGGGGTTTAGGCTTTTGGATTGGGGGTTTGATTTAAGGTTTAGGGTTTAGGGTTTCAGGCCTGAGAATGTTTGCATGACGTGCACCCGTCTAGCTTAGATTCTTTGCTCTGTCAGGGTTTCCCTAAAGCCTAAATCTAGAAGCCGTCAACCCTAAATACTAAACCCACACCCTGCATGTTTTATGTCTGGCCCCCCTTCTTCACATCGCAATGTTTCGGATGTTGAGGTTCACTCCGAGACCGGCAGCTGCGCACGGCAAAGCAACCATTAGTATTGCAAGTTGCGGTTGCCGTAGCAGCAGCAGTAGAAGCCGGAGTAGCTGTAGTCGTGCTGTAAGAGTAGGAGCTGGTGGTGGTCGTGGTGGTCGTGGCGGTGGGAGTAGTAGTAATAGTAGCAGCAGTAGTAGTAGTAGTAGTAGTTGTAGTAGTAGTAGTAGTTGTAGTAGTTGTAGTAGTAGTAGTAGTAGTAGTAGTAGTAGCAGCAGCGCTGGAAGTAAAGTGTGGAAGGGGGAATCATTCAGGAATCCCGAGGGCACGAACCCCGTTTAGGGCTGTATGGGAGTTTCCCAAAATCAGGGGTACCTTACTTTGGGGTCCTTATAATAAAAATCCTACCATTTGGGGTACTATATTGGGATCCCCTATTTTCGGAACCCGCCATATGCTGGACGTAGTGATGTTTTGCAAAAGCGTAACCCGAAACAAGGAAGATATCCTTCGGATCCCTATCGGTTAGGACATGACTTCTTTGCTTGTGGGGCGGGATGTTATAGTACAAACATAATATACCTATAGAGGGACTATCAGGGGATGTGATTGCTAATACTTCAGACCCCAAAGTCGTGCATTTGGGTAGGTTTTGTAGGGTATAAGCAAACCTGAACCGACCAAAGCCTATTTCTGTGGGTTCCACATAAATTTGATATTCGGGTCCATCATAAGAGCTTGTAAAGTGGGCAGCCATTGATTGAGTTAAAGCCTAAACTGGGTTCTCAGCACCGAGGTGATTCTTGCCGGCTACACAAAGGCCAGTGCTCCGAAAATGCAGAGCAATTCGAATCTGTAAACCCTTCGGGGTTTAGGGTTCAGGGTGGAGCCAAGAACTCCGCAACCATAACGGCAGCATTCTTACAGTCTTCTGTAGGGATTATGTTGCACTCTCGGAGCCCTTAGCCCAAGAAGTCCAAATCCACAGTGGCAGTTCCTTTTAGTCCTTCTGTTACTGCGTTACCCTGAAGGTCCATGTACCCAAATAGTATATACTTTAGGCCCAATGTACCCATATAGGGAGTACTTTAAGGCCAATGTATATACTATTCAGGTACATGGACCCTTAGGGTTAGGGTTTATGACGCAGGGTTTAAGGCGAAGGTGTAGCGTTACTCAGATAATTAAGGTTTGTGATGCATGGTTTAGGCGCGTTTAGGTCATTGGATCCTACAACCTCTGCTTGGGGTTTCAGACGCTAGTTTGGGGATTCGTTGAGGCTTTCCGGTTGATTACGTTAGTGTCACGTTTGTTCCTGTGGTCGTTTGTCAGATTTGTTTGTGGGTCTTGTGTTTTTGTTGCTGTTGAGGTGTGTGTGTATATATATATAAATATATATATATATATATTTATATATATACGTGTGTGTGCGCGTGTGTGTGTGTGTGTGTGTGTGAATGTGGTTCCCCAGCTTGATTTGAGTGCTTATTTTCTGGGCTGGTTTATGACGAGCTTCGCTATAGGTTGGCGGAGCTTTGGGGCTTCAGGGCTTTGGACCCTCAAGGCCAAAAACCCTGAAAACCCCAAGTCCTAGATCCTATTACCCTACACCCTAGAACCCTGAAGCCCTAAACCCCAAACCCTAAACCCCTAAAGCCCTTAACAGCCCTAACCCCTAACTTCCCTCAACCCTAATGCCCTTTTTGGCCTTAAGCCCTAACTTCTTCTAGCTCTCAAACCTTGCAAAGCCCTGGACCGCAACATCCTCCAACCAGGGGATGGATGACCCTTTTCCCTAAAACCCTAACCCTAAGGGTCCATGTACCTAAATAGTATATACATTGGCCTTAAAGTACTCCCTCTATGGGTACATTGGGCCCAAAGTGTATACTATTTGGGTACATGGACCCTCAGGGTAATATAGGGGCCTTAATACTTAGAATTTGGAGCCCATTCTACTATAACTACAATAAGGACCCCCTCAAAGTAATGTAGGCCATTCTCAAGGCCGCTTTTTAACCAGGAGAATAATGGTAGTACAATACATGCCCCAAAACTCATAGATCCCTAGTAGCCCTCATAGACCCCTTCAAACTTTAATGAAGAAACCCTATTAATCAGGAGATGGATGACTTCTTCAACTCGAACCCTGGCTTCCGCTCTCGCGTGCCTTTCTCCTTCTCCTTCGAAGACTACACCTGCCCAGAGCTGGTCCAGACTCTGGGCACAGTTTAGGGTTTAGGGGTTTAGGGTTCAGGGTTTGCTACTTTCTTTTGCTGTTGTTACGGGTTAGGGTTTAGGGCTTAGGGTTCAGGGTTTGGGGCCCATCGTGCTTCAGACTTTGGGCTTGTCACGTTTTTTTTGTTTTTTTTCTGTTGTTGGGGTTGGGGGTTACGGGCTTGATGCTTACGGCTTAGGAGTCTTGGGGGACTCTGGGCCTCCTTATTCTCCAGGGGCCCATCTGCCCCAAGTAGTATCTGTAAACTAGGTAGGGCTTTGGGACATTTTATATTTTCCCTTATTGGGCTTAAGAGGATCTTACTTACTAATATTTTTCAAAGGCTTTAAAAGCCCCACCTCGTAAAGTAGGCCCTGAGCTACTTTGGGGCAGAAGCATGCAATAGCTACTTCGGGGCCGAAGCATCCAATATTGGGTTGTTATGTCGTTGGGGCTTTGTGCTTCGGGTGAGGACTATGGGCAAGCAGAAGGATTCCATGGTTCTTGAGCCGAGTGACACGAGGCTTACTGTCGTTCAGTGTAGGGTTTAGAATTAGAAATTTCCCGGAAGCCTCCAAATATGTATGCAACAGCAAGCTTGTGTTTTTGATAATAATAATAATAATCAACCGGTATCATTAGGTCATTAGGGTGTCAGGGCACAGCTTCAAATTCAGCGTGTCGGGGGTTAGGGTCAAGGCTTACGGTATACCAGCTCACGCACACTAGTCTGTAAGGCTGAGCCCCAAGAGTCCATGTACACGTACTCAAATCGTATCTACTTCGGCCTGAAAGTAGCCGATATAGGTACTTTGGGGCCTAAGCATCTAATATATCTGCACATAGACCCTAAACCCTAAATCCCCAAACCCTAAACCCTTAAACCCTATACCCCTCAACGCCTAATCCCCCAACCCGTGCAACCCCCGACCTCCCTTCGACACCTTCCAGGATTGGACAACTACAGCTGAAGTCCAAGTCCATGGAATTGAAGGCACGGCGTAGGGTTTTGGGTTTAGGGCTGTATCGAGTCTTTGTCGTGCTTCTTATCGTGATCTCTACAGCTGCTGCATAGGTAATCTACAGCAAACGCACTGACCGTTCTTGGGCGAGTGTACTCAACCCCGAAGACAGGGTCTCATTGGCATGTACAGGAGTCGATCGCGAACAAACACCAGATTCTACAGAGTGCTGCACAGTTTAGTGGTTTAGGGCACACGGGATTTTCTGCTTCTCAACCGAATTTTTCTGAATCCCAAGAAGAACCAACTAGTGCGCCCAAAGTCTCGCGTTTGGTTCTTCTGCGGTTTCGGCTTGAGGGTTTATGCCAGCGAAGGCTCGAACTCTCTCGCCTGCAAAGAAGAGCTTGAGTTTGGTTTAGGGATTTGGGGCTTCTTAAAGTTCAGGATTTACCTTAACGTACTAGAGCCGCTTGTTTGTAGGGCCCTACAGATTCCGGGTTTTCTGACAGGATCCTAGAGAGAAGCAGGTGTTTATTGGTAGGTTATGGTAGGGTTTAGGGTTGAGGACTGCAATGTAGTGGAAGATTGGGGATTAGTGGGGGTCGAAGGCTGGAATTGTTGGTGGTTGCGCGGCATGGACCGCATCTATTGTTGTTAGCAAAGGGAGAGCTGCCGGGCTGCCTGTCATGTTTTGGGAATCTGCCATAAGGCTCTTGTATGCGTCTTCGCCAGATGGTTCGGACGGACCATCGACTGATTTTGCAAATGGTCGCGCCTGATGTTGATTAACTCTTGGTGCAAGCAGTTTGCGTACCCTAGGGCTCTAACTTCGCAGGCAGATGAAGTTGAATTCTCGGTGCAAGAGTTCTTACACCATGGCTCTCACTTCGCACGTGGGAGTTTCTGCATCGTTTGGCCACACGAGCCCAGGGAATGCTGTGCCTGAGCAAATCTTCTTCAAAAGCCAGGGCGATGACCGCTGCGAGTCCGGAAGCACGTGCTGGTGGCTCCGCCGTGCCGCAAAGTTGATTCTTGGCCCAGTTTTGGCTGGTTCTGAGGAAATGGGAGTTTAGAGAGTTTCGGGAAATCTTATATCTTTGCTGCGCCGTTGTTCGTCGTGTGTGGGCGTTTCTCTGCTCCTAGCTTGTGAGACCAGAATGCCCACACAACAAGTACGTATGACTAAATGAGCGCTGTGAAGGGTACCTATAGTCTCCATTGCAGTTCAATTTTGGGGTTACCTAAATAAAAGCTTGCTTAAACCAACAGAGCAACTGCCATGGAGACTATATAGGTAAGCCCATCCTACGTCATTAGCAGATCTCTAGCGCCGGATATCCCTCCATCTCAAGCCAAAGCCAACGAGAACCTTCATGAGCCCTAAACCCTAACCCCAACATCTAAGCCCTAACACCTAAGTTCCTAAGCCCTAAGCCTCCAAACCGTAAGCCATCAACCCTAAGCAATGAATGGCAGGAAAAAGTTTACGCCTAAACTAATCTGCAAGACGGTTCCCCGTTTACGATTTAGTGTGTTTAAGCTTTGAGGGTTTAGTGGGCTGAGGCGTAAAACCAAGCCCTTCCTTAGACGATTGCGACTACGACCACGCCTCCTTTAATTCATGCCGCCACGTCGGCGACGAGGCTGACGACGGCGACCACTGCGGGCATTTATTAACAAAACGATCGGTAGCTCCTAAGCATTAAAGTTGTGTTTCCTATGGTCGACGATTTGACTCTATGTCTTCAGGCGTTGAGGTTTCCAGGTTTCGAAGGTCCTGCTAGGTATCAGTTCACTGTTTGGGAGTTTCAGGCTGCAGTTCTTACTAGAGGGGCCTAAATGATTACCTACAGTTTTTTTCTGGTGATTTTTTGTATTTATAGTATATTGGGACCCACAACCTTATTCTAATTATTACGGCCCCTATACTAGGCTGCCGGGGTGAGAGTCTATGGCAAGGTAGCATGCAGAAAATTCGAGAAGGACGTGCACCTAAGGAGCACCCACTGCTGCGATCATCACGACCGCAAGCGTTGCCGTGCCCCGCGGCAGGTCAAAATCTACTAGATACACTGAAGTTGGGGCTGAGGGGCCGAGAGAAAGAATCTACAACCCGATTGTACGCGAACAAACCAACCATGGTTGATGGTTTAGGGCTCGTGGGAATCATGCACCAAAATGCCTGTGGCCAGTTTCAGGTTACCCACAAATCAGCAGACATCGCCAACGAAACCACACCGAAATGCAAGTTTCAGATTCAGAGACCCTTAACTGCAAGTGATTATATATATATATATATACATATAACACAAATCTTGGTCGACTGATGCGGGCACCTTCATATATGGATGCGGTCGTCAAGTGTATACTATCCAGACCTAGACCCCGAGAGGGGCAGACATCATGAAGACTAAGCTCGTATTCTACACGTAAGCCTCAGAAATCGGCGTCGAGGACGTTGCTCAAACCCGGTGTGTTCGAGAAATGTCCCGTACATATGGAAAAAAGACCTATTTTGAAGCCGATAGTACTCACGTTGCAGGTGCCGTAGCTTTTTCATTTAAAGGATCCTCATGCCTTACAGTGAAAACCCTGTATAAGAACCATGTTCGGCGAGAGTAGGGTACCCTGAGGTTCTTAATTTCCATTACATGTGATTTTGCCGTTCGAGCAGCTAGGGTAGGCTCAGGTTCTTAACCACGTTCTTATCCGGACCGAGGTCTCGGGAAATTTTACTTTTGGATTCTAAATTTCCTCTTGGGGGTGGATGGGCCATGGGGGTCTGGAAAATTTAGTTTTCAATTCTAAATTTCCACAGCTCCTCGAAAGGACTCGGGGCAGAGGGCATGGCCAGAGACTTTTACTTTTGGATTCTAAATTTCCGTGGGGGTGGATGGGCCATGGGGGTCTGGAAAATCTAAATTTCCACAGCTCCTCGAAAGGACTCAGGGCAGAGGGCATGGCCAGAGACCCCCCGAAAATTTTTCTTTTGGATTCTAAATTTCCGTGGGGGCGGATGGGCCATGGGTGTGGCTTGGGCCGGGACCAGGACGCTGGTGGGAAAATTTAGATTTCAATTCTAAATTTCCACAGTTTGGTGACAAGGGGCTCTGTTTCAGTGGAATACGAGCTGCGGGCAGGCAGCCCGCAGCAGCATGACACCCCCGGGGATCGAAACAAGGCCAAATCCCTGTAGGGCCTATGCCAAACCACTGCGCTGTGGGGGAGCTGCTTTGCCGTTGCTTTCTCACCAATTATTTGGTGGGGCAGGTGTTTGAGGAGATACAGGACGAGAAGTTTGCGCCGGGCAGACGCCGCTATTGGGCAAAGACGGGATGGGCCGTACATCGGAGCTTGACAGTGAGGTGGTGCTTATTGGGAAGCCAGACTACAGACCTTTCCCTCCGGGTACGGCGATGGGTCCCAACTACCTCGACCAGTACATGCTTGATGACGGCCAGTCTGTGGCAGCGGAAAGCAGCAGCAGCAACAGCAGCAACAGCAGCAGCAGCAGTGAAAGCAGCTGCTCAACAGCTGCATGCAACGAGGAGCCTGCAGATGGCAACAACAAGGGGAAGCCGAAGCAGCTTGCCAAGGCCAAGGCCAAGGCCAAGGCGAAGGGGAAGGGCAAGGGCAAGGGCAAGAGCAAGACCAAGACTGCTGCCAAAGCAAGTGCCAAGCGGAAACCTTTGCCACGTTCCACGCAGCAGCTTTCGTGCTCAGCTAAAAGCAGCCACCCGTGGGTGGGACGAGCGGTGGGCTTCAGCACGCAAGCGACCCTTCAAAAGAGTAAGGGCGTGGGCGTGTTTGAGGCTGTAGACGAAGAAGCTGGCACAGTGCGCATCTGTGCTGCTTGCGGGACACAGGCGCTGCCCATTGCAAGCGTGCAGTTGGCAGAGTAGGATCCTCAAGATGACGTGCTTGCAGTACGAAGGTGAAAAGCATTTGAAGCAAGCTTGTTGCAGCCCGGGCTTAGGGCACCCCAAGTAGTACTTGGAGGTTCATGGGACTTAGTAAGTACAGTTATAAGCGCCGTAATTGGGTTATTTAATTAGGTATACGTATGCTTACCCAAAGTATAACTTTAGTTACTAAGTCCCATGAAACTCTATGTATTTTTTAAATTTGATGTCTCGAAGTTCCCTTGGCTTTCTCAGCCTTCAGCGGGATCAAGGCACGAAGTGCTTAGGTCACCCCAAGTAGTTGCTGTAGTAAATAGTACTCGCTACTGTTGCTATTGCGCGGAAGCACAACACTCTAGACGGTAGTCTCCAGGAGGCCTGGGAAATTTAGAATTCAATTCTAAATTTTACAATTCTGACACCCTTGGGGATTGAAACACGTACCTTTGCCTCCAGAACCCATGCACAACCACCGCGCTGTGGCATGATTGCTGTTGCCTATCGATAATACAATGACCATGTTTAGGCACAAGATTTCTTGATGTGGAGGGTTGGGAAATTTAGTTTTCGATTCTAAATTTCCTTGGTGAGGGAAAGCACCCAAAAAATTAAGAACCTGACCCGAAAACTAGGGTACCCTAAGGTTCTTAATATTGAGGCAACTTGAATCTGGTGAATTCCGCCTTGGGTAGGGGCTCAGGTTCTTAAACAGCCGGTTCTTATACAGTATTTTCACTGTAATAGTAAACGTTAGGGAATACGAGAACGAATCATGCCTTTGTTTTTGTCTGATTTGAAAGTCTGTGGGGATAGCTGTACAGGTTCAGGGTGATGGCAGTGCGCATCTCCACTTCGAACCAATCCGCATGACATACGGATTGGTTCGTATGATCCCTACCTAAACCCCCAAAAGTAGGTTAAATACTGGCCCAAAACCCTATAAGGGCTATTATTCTACATACTTTTGTGGTCCAGGTACAAATTGCGGCTATCTTGTCGATACTCCTACGCATAGCCAACTGAAGAAACCTGATTAGCAGAATCTTGCACTACTTTAAGTCCCAAAGGCCCCATGTACCTTTATAGTGGATACTTTGGCCTTAAAGGCGTCCCTATATAGGTACTTCAAGGCCTAAGTATATACTATATGCGTACATGGAGCCTTTGGGAGTTGCTTTGTATATAGGAAGTATGGTATTATCCCCAGCACGGGCAACTACTGTTTGCTTAAGAAACACCCAAAAAATAAAAATAACAATCCCTATATTACCACCATAAGGAATATATTTTTTAATTTTTTGGGGTTTCTTAAGCAAATAGTAGGCAATTCTGGCTTTGCTTATCAAACCTTTGGGTTCCAGTTATAGCAACCCACTCGCTAGGCAACCGGAGCCCTTAGGAAAAAGTGGATAGTCCGAACCTAAACGGGTTCCTTTATGGGTTCTACAAGGGTACCACAAGGGTTGGGGCTTTTGGGGGTCCATGTACCCAACTAGTGCAAACTTGGGCCCCAATCTACCTGTACAGGGACTACTTTAAGGCCAATGTATGTACTACTTGGTACATGGACCCTTAGGGCAGTGAGAATGCCCAAGGATCGTGGCACGAGCCCTAATGTATGTGCATTTACAATCAGCTGTTGCGACCGACATGCAATGTGACATAGTATAAGCACACATACATACGTACATGCACACATATAAACTTATAAACATACATAAACATGTAGATATATGAATATCTGTATGTTTGCATACGCTAGATTATATAGATACAGACGCGCCTCGTCTCCATTATGGTTCCGTTTCACCAATCCTGAAGCCCAAAAGGCAGCTGCAACGGAGACTACATGTAGAGTCTTGCCCAGCCTCTTCCGAGCAGAAAGGCTTCAAGCCTGGGCTGAAACCCACTCACACTCCCGCTGAGGCTAAAGAGGACGATCGGCGCCAGTCTCAGAAGCCGAAGCTATACCCTAAGGGTCCAAAGAACCCAATAATTAGGTACTCGGGTTTGGGATAGTAGTTATGTAGGTTACTAATTTGGAGAGTATATGATAATTAGGTTCATGGACCCTTAGGGATACTTCTAGTTCCGGGCTTACAGGTTTTGGTTTATAGTGTATCTCTGGCTCATGATTCAACGTTTCGGGATTTTACCTGGGAGGGTGCAGGTTCAGAGTTGCCGAAGCCCTAAACCTAAACCCTATAGCCCTAAATCCTACATCTTACGCCTCAAACCCTAAACCCTAAACCCCAAACCCTAAACCCTAAACCCCAAACCCTAAACCCTACATCTTAAGCGCTAAACTTGGCACTCAACCCGAATCCCAAATCCCTGAAGCCCAAGCCTTGACTACCTGGCGGGGTTTTGGCTGCCAGACGGAAGAGGGCTCTCAACCCAAAGCAACCTAAACTCTCCCTAAGGGTCCATGTACCTAAATAGTATATACATTGGCCTTAAAGTACTCCCTATATGGGTACATTGGGCCCAAAGTATATACTATTTGGGTACATGGACTCTCAGGGCCTATGAACTGGGACAGGTTTGGGGGCTCTGGGCTCAGAGGGGTTTTGGGTCTTGTGGACCAAGACTGTTTTGGGGGTTCCTTGCTTTAAGTATAGTACAATGGGCCCCAAAACCCTATTCTAACTATTATGACCGCTATATTCGGGTTTTTTCATCGTTCCGTCAAGAGGAGGAGGCAGGTAACGGTTACGGTTTGGAGTTAGGGTCTACCTGAGACGCCCAGAACCTCTCGGTGATTCAGCTGAAGCGGAAAGCCGCAGAGGTTCCCAAATTAGAGCCCAACACTAGAAAACAAATGCGGGTTCCTGGAGGGGGACTATGAGGATTTTTTTGATATGCGTGTGGAAAACCCCCAGATACCTTCTAGGAGGCCCTTGCATGTTCGGGGTTGCCGGCTTCAACATCTTGGGTTCTGGGATTGCAAGATGGAGGGAGCAACTTGGCCACAGTTAAAGGTGGTTTGAAGTGGGGCAGCTCTTCTTATGTTGTCAATGTAGGTCGTGCTTTCCGGGAGCACTGAAGCTCAATCTAGACAAGGTGTCCAACCTAGTCAGGTTCAACATCACCCATAACATACACTCTCAGCAACATCGACAGCCAGATAGAGATATAGATACATGTGCTAGACGGATAGCAGCCCTTAGCCCTAAACCCTATGCATGCATTTAAGTATACATATGTATACATACATATGCGTGTATATATATATATATACAGAAAGGTGTGCCGCTCCACTCTCTCTGTCTCTCTCTCTCTCTCTATCTCTCTCTCTCTCTATATATATTTTTTTAATAACTATATATATACACATTCATGTACGTATATGCATAAACGAATATGTGTGTATATCTGTATATAAATAAATACATATATATATATATATATATGTATATATATGTACACACACACGTGAATACATGCATGGATGCTTGCAAACCGACAGGCAGGCAGACAGGCAGACATGCATACATAGATACAGAACGGGCAATAACCTCAGCCTCGGAACCGACGGAAGGTCGAACGGAAACGGCCGCACCATGCGAAATCTCCTCGAGTCAAGCTTCCGTCACATGGCGCTTCGTGTCCTGAAGCTCGATGGCATGGGGTTTCCCCAAAGGGTCCATGTGCCCATCGAGTAGATACCTTGGCCCTAAAGTACAAATAGGGACTGTTTGAAGCCTCACATATATATCGACCCTTAGGATTTTATGAGCTGCTCAAGCGTGTGCTGTGAGGTTCTATAATAGTACTATAGGGGCCAATTAATTACCAATATTGTGGTGGGGGTTCCTTACCCAAGACCCTATTCTGATTATATTAAGGCCCCTATATTAGTGGCTGGAGGCCCTCGACCCTAGACCCCAAAGGGGTAAAAGCCGCTGACCCTGAACGTTGACATGCGCAAGAACACAAAACAACATTGAACTCCAGGGCTGGTATCTAAGCATAAGGCTGGGCTTAGGGTGTAGGCATAGCTTTTTTGTTCGAAATATCGTAGTAGGGCCTCTGATTCTTTTGTACTTTCTGTTTCGTTCAAGTATGCTTCCGCCTCGTAACCTTCTAAAAGAAGCCCAGGAACTTAAACTGAATCGCTATACCCTTTAGACTAATTATAGGATCCTTAAGGGAGGGTGGTTCAAGGGGGGAGGGTATAAGGAATTCTTAGGGGACTGTAAGGGAACCTTAGGGAGTACTAGGGAGAATTAGGGATCACTAGGCTATATACCCCCCTTGGACCCCCCTCCCTTAAGGATACTACAATTAGATGTGTGGGAGGATATGTTCGGCTTAGGACTTTAGGGCGCAGAAGCTTTTAAGGTTTGTGGCTTTGGGGCTTCTGTGCCTCTGGGATTCGCGGTTTAAGGATTCAAAGTTGTGGGTGCCGGTTGATAGAATAGGGGCCTTATTTTTTTTCGAATGGCTTTTGCGGCCCCTTATACCACAATTATAATAAGGACCCCCCCTCCCAAATAGTATAGGTAATTATTAAGGCCCCTACATTATGGGGCTTCGGCTTTGCGTGTTTCGGGGGGCAGGGCTTCCTTGAAGCCCGAAGCAGGGTTCAGGCTGCCGTGAACCCTACCAAACCCTACAAAGTAGTAGGCTATGACCCCCTTAATTAGAGGGTCGAACCCATAAAGCGGTAGGTTTGGGGATCTACAGGTAAACCCTCAGTAGAGGAGTCTATCAGTCTAGAGGAGCATGTGTCTTCTCAGGCGCAGGCACACCTCGGAAAGATGGGCTGTTCTTAGACCCAGGGTTTAGGGTTCAGGGCCAACTACCTTCTAATATACCTTAAAGACCCACTATCAAGGACCATAAGGGCTCCGTTAAAGGGCCCTTGGGGGATCCTGGTTCAGTCTCACAAGGCGGTGTGCTTGGGTCGGACGAAGCGGGTGCGGGTCCTCGCTTGTAAATGCAGTTTCAAAGGCCCTAAACCCCCAAACCCCTAAGCCCTAAGCCCCTAAACCCCC